CTAAGACCATCGGAAAACACAGATATTTACATTACGATTCAGAACAGTAGCAAAAATTACAGTTATGAAGTAGCAATGAAAATAATTTTATGCTTGGGGGTCACCACAACATGAGGAACTGTATTAAAGGGCCGTGGCAATAGAAAGATTGAGAACCACTGTGCTAGATGAAACAACCTTCTTCACTTCCTCTCGGGTGAGAAAATAAACATCCCACTGAAGTCAATTCAAGCATGCACATGAACATTAACAGATGCCATTTCTTGCTCCTGCGCACACTCAAACCCTTATCTGCAGCTACTGTTAGACACTTCTCATATGTCAACCCTACAATATATCCAGAATAGAGCTTATCTCCTTCCTCAACATCAGTCTCTAAACTGCCCAAGCTTGAAGTTCCAGAGTTATTCTTTCACATCAGTTCAGGTCCCGTCATGGTTTCAAGTCATGTTCTCCTATCATCTACTTATCCCATTTTTGCAGCCTCACCACCTGAGGCCAGATATTGCCCATCTCATGAGTACATTGTCATGTATAGCGCATTTACTTATCTCCCCTTCCTCTGCAAACAGGCCTAACTATGTTTGGGTTTTAACGGGAATACACAGAAAGGGAAGGAACTCTGGGGGGCTGTTCCCAACACAGAAAATGATCTTTTGTTCCTTCTGCTAAGATTGTATTTGCTCTTAAATATGCATGTCAAAATTCATTCCACTCTACTATAAAATTGTTTTTACTCCCTTAGTATAAATAACTCATAGATTCTCACACTCTGTGGTCTCTTCTACCTCATACTAGAACCTCTTACATATGTGCCTCTCTCCATATGAGAATAATGATTGCTTTGTATTCATCAAATATACTCCCAGCACCTACATGCTTTATGACAAGGATCTGGAAGTTGGTTTTGTCCTGTCCCATACACATGGATTTATATCATCAAGTTTTTAATGCCATTTTTATGGGCATAAACTGAAACTTGTATTAGCATGCCTGTTAATCCCTCTTCCAGATTGCAGGGATGGATGTTAAAGTTCTAAACAAAACAAGTAAAATCCCACTACCAGACATGTCTCTCAACTCTACCAGGCAGTAGTCATTATGTTTATTCATTAGAATCCAGATCTTCCTTCCTATCTTCCTTTCTTCCTTCCTTCCTTCCTTCCTTCCTTCCTTCCTTCCTTCCTTCCTTCCTTCCTTCCTTCCTTCCTTTCCTTCCTTCCTTCCTTCCTTCCTTCCTTCCTTCCTTCCTTCCTTCCTTCCTTTTCACTTTTTTGCTAGTTCTTACCCCATGATATAAATGAAAATTTCAAGTAAAATATCAAGATTAAATCCTTGAACAGAACAAATTTAACTTTCATACTACCTTCCTTACTGAATTTAGCATGGCAACAGTTCTAGGTTTTAATGTATGTAGGGGGTAAAATCATCCTCTCCCCTTCTCTATGGTCATGCTTACCCATAAAATAAAAACATTAGCTTTCTCAAAAAGTATTGAAAAAAATCATCCTTTCTCCCTTCTCTGTTCATTGTCCCTCCCCACTGGCAGAAGAGTGATAAATACTCCCCTCCTTGGGACAGATTGTGAATATTAGAATTTGCCACTCACATCATGTCCTGGCTCCTCAATTCTTTTTTGGTCTTGTCTTTTAAAGCTGCTTGTGTACAGACCCCATGCTGTCTTCTCTCCTCTACATGTTTATCCCACAAACATGGAGGACAAAGAGCGCTTCTCTTTGCTACTCATGTGTTAAACTCAATTCAAGTAGGAGGAAGTAGGAAGTTTCCCAGCAAAAATGAAACTGATAGTTTTGATACCTGCCTCTTATAACAATTCCCAATTAACCCAGCACTCGGAAGAAAAGGGGTACAATTCATCCTACAGCACACAGGTAATTCATTGGAGAAATGAGTAGCTAGGGGATATACTAGTATATTTGTACCTATCATCTCTTTAAGAATATAAAGAGGCAATTTTCAAGAATATTTATGAAAATTTAAAACATAGAACATTCTTAAATAGAGTAGCACCTAGATGACAATTTCTGACTCAGCCTCTTCTTGCTTTCATAAAGTATAAATTAAAACATGGAAATGATGAAAATTCTTAACGCTGGCAATCCAATCTGAGGACTAGGAGGATTTCCGTCAATTATAGAAAGCTCAACTGTGACTCAATTTAAGGGTCCAAGGAGACAGCCAATAGGTGATTCTCACTCATCATTGATGTTTCTCTCTCTCTCTCCCTATTCATTCCTCTCTGAAAAAAAAAAAAAAATATATATATATATATATATATATATATATATATATAGAGAGAGAGAGAGAGAGAGAGAGAGAGAGAGAGAGAGAGATTTCTATGCACTAGCCATGTAGCTCTTTTATAACGTAAATCAGTTCATTTCACTTCTCTCCTCAACCCTCCAATGTCTCCCTATCCCATTCAGAGGAAGAGCTAAGTCCTCTAATGGCCTGCTGCTCTGTGCCCTCCCCTCCCTATATCTCTTGTTCATTCCATTTCAAATTCATGATTGCTTCTTAAACACTCCAAATATTCTCCTCCCTCAAGACTTTTGTACTTGCTGTTCCCTACGTCTCAAATATTTCCCCCTTAAATATCTGGGAGGTTTGCTCCCTCATTCATTCAGGCTTTCACTCATATAGAAGAGAGGCCTCCTCTGGAAAAGCACTGTCAATCTCCCATTTCCCACACTCATGGATCCTCTTTACCCTGATCATTTGTTCTTCAATGCCCTTATCACAATATGCATGTTACATTTTCCTATTTTTCTTTTTTGGTGTCTCTCCCAACCAGAAATCTAAGCCAAATCAGAGCCCAGGCCCTGTATGTGTTCATTGTCCTATCTATGGTGCCTAAAACTGTGCCTGGCATGTAAAGTTTAAATAAAAAATGCCCAGTGACTTTATCTTCCCTTGTTCCTACATAAAGTAACTACTACCCATGGGCTTATTCAGAGGTACTACAGAACCAGTGTCTTAGAAGAGAATCTCTGGAAGTTGTTCTAACAATTTGTACTAACAAAATTATTACCCATAAGATAATGTGAGCCACAAGAAGAAAAAGTCAACACACACAGAAGAAAAATCAACAGAAAAAGATTTAAAGGCAAAAAAGTAGATGAAAAGGAGTAACAATTAGAAAAGATACTGGATTAAAAAAACAAACAAACAAAAATCAGGTAAGAATTAAAGCTTGCACTACAGGTAGGAACAAGCACAATTAAGAAAAAAGAAGGAGCCGAAACCGGTTTGGCTCAATGGATAGAGCGTCGGCTTGGGGACTGAAGGACCCGGGTTCGATTCCGGTCAAGGGCATGTACCTTGGTTGCGGGCATATCCCCAGTTAGGGGGTGTGCAAGAGGCAGCTGATCGATGACTCTCTCTCATCGATGTTTCTAACTCTCTATCTCTCTCCCTTCCTCTCTGTACAAAATCAATAAAATATATTTAAAAAAAAAAGAAAAAAGAAGGAATTCTTACCATTTGCAACAGCATGGATGGAACTGGAGAGCATTATGCTAAGTGAAATAAGCCAGACAGAGAAAGATAAATATCACATGATCTAACTCATTTGTGGAATATAATGAACAAAAATAGATAGAAACAAAAAAGCATTGAACTACAGTGGGAAGGCAGGGGAGGGTTGGGGAGGTGAGATAAGGGATCAACTGAAACACTTGCATGCATGTAATGGTCACCAATGGACACAAACACTGGGGGGAGGGGGAGGGCATTGTGGGGGGCTGAGGAAAGGGGAGGGGAGGCTGGAGGGGGAGTCAGTGGAGGAAAAAGGAGACATATGTACTACCATTTGTATTACTTTAAACAATTAAAAAAAAGGAGACAAATATTGAAGCAGTGGCTTAATTCAACTACAGCATAGTGAGGGCTACTATATGCCAGGCAGAGTCAAGGCAATGGAAGTACATTTTGGTGAACATGAGGTGAGATGGACAAGCTCATGTGCTACTTCTGAGAGTCTAAACTGGTATCAGTTTTGGGGAAACCACTTTGGTAATATGTACCATTACAGCCTTAAAATGCATAATCTCTGAACCAAAACTCTCATATCTATGCAAAGAATACAAAGAAATAGATGGGATCATAGAAAGTCTATTATAGAATTCATATTATAAATATTTACCTATATACATAATATATGACTCTGATATTATATATAAATGTTAGAAACAAGTGAGAGGTGCACAGTAGAGGAATTGTCAACTAGATATTAATAGCACCAAATAATGAAGCACTATGAAACCATTAATACAGATAAAGAGAAATGATTTTAAGAACTTAAAAAATTCACAGAATTGAAGAATGCAGGATAAATTACACAGAATAAGTTCAAAGATAGAACTCTCATCTTTGGAGTTTGGAATTAAGAATTACATTCTTTATGTTTTAGGACATTTGATAATTTTCATCAATTAACACATATATTACTTTAATAATCAAAATAATAATGAAAATGAACTACATTTTTCATTTTCTCCCACATTAGAGCTCATATGTATAGTTTAACCTATTCCAATACAGTTCTCATATCCTAAAATTATCTACTTCTCCCTCATTATTATAACAGAAATAAGCAAGTTTATATTTTTTCTCAAAGCATGCTTCAGTGTTTTATTCTTTAATTCCCACTCCAGATTGCAAAACATTAGAGATATCAATATTTTTACTGTACACATTTTTTAAACATATATATATATATATATATATATATATATATATATATAATTTTTTTTGGCAGGGTAACTAGTTTATTTAAACTATTAGACAGAGTTCCCACCATGGGAGCAGAGCTGTGGGACTGAACTGTGTGGGGATGACCAGGTATCAGAAGGTAAAAGGAGCTCAGCTGAGCAGCAGGAGCAGCATTGGGGCCAGGCCAAGCCTCATAGAGCTCAGCTCCATTCATGGCCTCTGCATAGAAGCTGGGCACCTCTTCACTGGGGTTGCCCTGTGCCGGGTCAAACCACATCTGGATGCAGCGGCCACTGCCTTAGCAGTAGTTGCTGACTTTGAAGGAATGACTCGATTCCACTGCACAGAGCAGCTGGCGTGAGGAAGTAGAAATCAAAGCAGTGGCAGACAGCCTTGACTGGGCACTCATTAAACCCTGAGGTCCAGTTCCAGCCCTTGTGCCAGTTACTCTTGCAGGTGTAGGAGGTGCGGCAGTCTTCCCACCAGACCTCACAGTCTTCTTTGCACAGGGGCACGTTCAGGATCTGCTCTTTGCGCCAACTCTGGTTCACCTCCTGGATCCAGGGCCCCAGGTTGGGAGAGCACTCGTGCAGACAGGTGTCCTGGGTGAAGTGGCGCTTGCAGGCGGGTTTCATGGGGCCGCAGTGGTCCCAGGTGAATCTGTACGGGTAGGAGACCTTCTTAGGGGCTTCCTGGCTGGTGTTGACAGAGGAGCAGGCATTCTTCCAGGGACTGCACTGCTCATGCAGTTTGTCCTCCCAGCCTGGCTTTTCCTTGTGGCGCTTGGCATTCCTGCAGACATTGAGAAGCTCAGTCCTGGGCCCATATTTCAGCCCCCACACCAGAAGGAGCCACAGCTGTGTTGTCATCGTGGGAGCCATGCTAGTCCCCGAAGGAAGAGTGTAGTCAGCGACACCAAGTCTGTTTTATATTTTTAAAGATATTTTTATTATTTTTCGGAGAGGAAGGGAGAGAGAGGGAGACCAAGAGAGAGACAGATACAGAGAGAGAGAACATCAATAAGAAGAAAGAATCACGGATTGGCCGCCTCCTGCACGCCCTGCCCTTCACAGGGGATCGAGCCTGCAACCTGGGCATGTGCCCTGACCAGCAATCGAACCCTGACCTCCTGGTTCATAGGTCAATGCTCAACCACTGAGCCATGACAGCTGGGGTCATTGTTTTATTTTTTTTCTCTTATCACCAAGGAAGCAAAAGAATAAATATTTTATGCAAATGATCCAACAATTCACCATTCACTTCACCTCTTACCATAAAAACACACTGCATTCAAAAACAGCTTCTCATCAAAAATAAAGTTCCTTGTTAAAAATTTTTCTATAAAAACAATATCAAGAGTGTGGTGATAGTTTCAGAGGTATACATTTATGCCCAAACTTGTCATATTGTACAGTTTATATGTGCAATTTATTATGTCAATTTATACCTCAGTGAAGATGGTAAATAAAAACATAATATCACAAAAAATCACATACTGAAATATGACTAAAGTGCTTGGAAAGTAGACACACACAAAACCACACAAGAAAAATAAATAAAAAAGAACCACTCCTTAAATGCATCAGCAATTTTATTTACAAATACAGTTGGAGAGAAAGGCTCACTACTTCCTCGAGAAAAATTTTGGTATGGTATACAAACTGTAAGGATATTTCATTAATGAGAAGCAGAGGCTTTCTATTGAAAACTGGATAGTGACAATTCTAACAAAAACAGAGCTCCCCTCATCAAGCAAATAACATTTCATATAAGCTAATTGTTTTCAAATCATAATATATAGCTGAAAAAGCAGGATACAGAAAGCAAATTTGGGGCAGGGGGTGCATTTTAGTGACATTTTCCATATGGTTCTGTATTAATTTAGCATACATTACAATAAACAGCAAATGCAATTATATATTTATATTAACTATTTCAAATAATGTTTTAGAACCTTTAAAAAAAAAATAACAACAACAATAAAATAACCCTCTTCAAAACACCACTGATCATTATCAGCCTCAAAATATTTTGAAGTTCTTTTTACCCTTGTGCTGTTAGGATGCTGAACTCAGAAAGTAAATACTGCACTTTCCCCCACACATAATTACCTCCTTATAAATAAACAACAACAAAAATACAGGTTCTACCAAGTCTATCCTGCTCTGATGTAATCTACAGAGGCCAAAAAAAAAAAGTGTTATTCTTTAAAAAAAGAGAGAGAGAGAGACATACAACATATATTTATAGATCTACATCAGCAGCAACCAACTCTTCTTCTATCTGCAACAGTGCTTTCGTATGGAGGTTTACATCACATGGCGGTTGGCCGTCCAGCTGATCAGGCAGGGAGAGAAGAAAGAACAGCGCTTAGATTCAGAAACTCGGGAATATTGCCGTTGGGGATGCATAGCAGTAATCACAAAGAGAATGGCCTCATGAGGTAGAAAGTCACCTTGTCCACTCACTGAGGATAAAGCGAGGCCAATCACAGCCTCTGGGTACTAGGAGTCTTTGAACTGCTGGTACAGAAGTAAGTCACACTCAACTCTCTTTTATTTGTGTTGGAGAAGAGAAAAGGCATGGGTCCTTTTCTCTTCTCCAAAGGTAAGTCCCCCCAAAATAAATTCTATTTGGCTTTGAAATTTGATTAGAGAGAGAAAAGCACACACACATACACACATGCCCCCACCCCCATTGCACACCCAGCTTTGACATTCTCCAAGCTCAGTGGCAGTATCCAGAGAAGGACTGGGCTGCTGTGGTATGAAGACTCAGACCCGGCTGACAGATAAAAGAGAGTTGAGTGGGCTGAAACCATTTCCAAACCACTCTTCACATAAAGGGCCACATAAATACCTTTGAGTTCAAAAGCAAAGGGATTTGCTGATACCACTTGTAACACCCTTTCACAATGGGAAGAAACACATGTTACCAGCATCAACGTACAACACGGCAGTAATGGTTGTCTTCATGGAGTTATAAGCAATACACAGTCTAATGGTGCTACCTTAGGTTTCATAGCACACTTAGAAACAAAAACATGATATGAAGTTGTTGAAAAACTCAACTTTTCCTAAAGTAACAGTGAAATGCCATATAACCAGAGTAATGCTCTCCTTTTAAAAATGTGTATAATATGTTGGTATCTGATTACATAATAATGAAGCATAAACTATGCTTTATGACCTTTTAAACCACAGGTTTTTGTTTTTTTTTAAACTGATCATATTCTAAATTGCATAATCAGAGCCCATTATTAAATAATAGAAATCAGCTAGTGATGAGAGAACAATTGATGACCATCTACACCAAATATTCATTTTAACTTTGTTCGGATCCTCCAGTCATTAGCAGTTTCTCCAGACGGAACAGGACGTCGTCCTGACTTGGGCACACACCCCTCTCTGGTTCCTTAGCCCCACCGCCCACCCTGTGTGGCTGCACCCCTGAGCTCTGACCCACCCACCATACCCTCTTGGAACGGGTGGCCACCCTAAGATTCCTGAGACCTGGAGTTCGAGGGGGAGACAAGCGCAGGTTCGGGGAAATGCATGGGAATGCGCGGTTTCATTAAAAGATTAGAAATTTTCTCCCTGATTTGCTCTCTTACATTTGAGTCGGAGATAGCAGTTGTTGCAGTACAGTTGGTTGTTTCGGATTCTGACTTCAGCTCCTGAGGAAGAGCCTCCGAGGTCACACTCACAGGCAACACACTGGAGAACAAACAAAACAAAACATACACACACAAAAAAAAAAAAAAAAATGCACACGCGGTGAGCTCAAGAAAGGCTGAGGCGCTCCTGGAAAAAATAACTGAGCAAAATGCAGCTTCTAAGCTCTTAAATATGTTTCAGAAAAGAAGAAAGAAAAAAAGCCAAAAGATAATCAGTAGATTAAAATCAAGCCTGCTAGACGAGCGAGACATTAAAGAATTCATAAAGCCAATTTTAAGAGCCAAGATGATCATTCTAAATATACCAAAAGAGCAAAAGTGATTCATTGACTGGCTTAAAGAAAGAGTCTTCTCTTCTCTCCGGGGAATGAGAGAGGATAAAGTACCACATGAAAGAACCGAGGGAGTGAATGAACACTGCAAGACTGGCACTGCCCTCTGGGGTAGGACTCGCCCAGAGCCCTCACTGGGCAGCTTGGCAAGTGTTCCCACAGGGTGCTTTCACCTCCAGGCTGGTCATCTTGGTTCCAATTGCTCCAACGCTAATAATTTTGATTCATTCTGCTTTCCCTAGAAACAGCCCACGCAGCAATATACAAGCTTAAACAAGCTGTGGTCTGTGGGACTCTGGGATCAACAACCGGAGTCACTCTTTGGCCCAACACAAGTTCAAATAGATGTGTCTCTAAAGACAGTGACTGCAAAATAAAGTTGTTACAGCCTTAGTTCTTTCTTATGTTTAAGCAACCATCAAGTGCAAGCAGCTGTGCAATTGTAAAAATATTTCCCATGCTCTTCCTTACAGACTCTTCCTAGTCAAAGCGAAGCTTTAGATACATTTATAATTGCACATCCCATCCCCTTGTTGTTAATGACATTATTAATTACATTTCAAAAATGCCCAGGACCGCCTGACAGAGAAAGCATTTATGCACTGTAAATTTTACTAACGGAATCTTAACAGATTGGCGATGGGAAGTGCAGAGCATTTCTACAACATTTAAAGCTAGGTTCAGGATTTGAGAACTACGGAGTAGCAAGCAACCTGAGATTCAAAATGCAGCACAGACCGACAAATACAGCAGCACCTTGCCCGCTGAGGGCACGTCCACACCCAGTGCGCAAAGCAGCCATGCGCTCTCCAAGCAAAGCTTTGCGGGGGCAGCAGCGGCTGTTTATCTTCATCTCACCTTAAAACAACATAAATGATAACAAAGACCCAGGGACTCGATGATCATGGCAGCTCCTTTGCCCAGAATGTTATTGCAGTAGGAGCACATGCGCTTCCCACTGACTGACCTAGATGCAGAACGAAGAGTGGATTGGAGGCTTTCATCTGTGCGGCTCAAGGTTATCATTTTACATGCTACCATTAACAATTTAGGAAAGTGTCTCATCTGTGGGAGGAAAAGTCTCACCAGCCAATCAAAATGTGCCCTGATTACACTGTGCCTTGAAGGATCTCCATGATGGTTGAGAAATCCTTGATGCCTATTCAATGAATGAACAATTTTGGTGTAATTAGTCCACCCTGCATTTGGAGACGCTATCCTCCTTAGATGCATTTGTATTCAGCAGTAGTCTCCCCTCTCCCAAAGCGCAACTCTAATCCTGTCATCTCTCCCATGAGAACACCCAAAGAGCAGCTTCATAGCTTCTGTAAGGCATTGTAAGCTACCCTCCCAATCTTAGTTTCCCATCCTCTTCCGCATTCGCCCAATATTTCATTTAAGCAGAAGGAGGTGCTTTCCTGCTGTGCCTCTGGCTTGACTACTTCTGCAGAGAATGAAATGGAAAAGGCCTGTCAGCTACTATGTAGATAAGTACCTCCCTTTGTATACAAGTCTCACCTTCTCTCCAAGGTAAGAAGGTGTAGGCCACTGCTTACCTCTGGCTGCCACGGTACTAGCCTCGCACTTTAATGGCACTGAAAGGGCACAGCTGTGGAGTGCCTCATGTCAGAGCACCAGCTCCCAGACACAGGCCTTTTCAGGCAGAAAAGCCCTAGCCTGTCTCCTGTGTTCTCCCGAGGGTGGGGGCGGGGCAAGGCGGAGAGGGGAGAGAGGTGGGAAGAGGAGAGAGACCTCTCAGGAAATGGGTACTGTCTCCCCAGTACATGGCATTCATCTTCCTCCATAACTGACCATAAATTCTCACCCCATCTTCTCTCAATTCAAACTCCCTAATGCATTTTATACATCCTGGAACAAGCAACATTTTTAGATGGATCTAAAATATATTCTCTTAAGAAAAAAAAAATCCCTTTATTTAATGGCAAAAAAAATAAAATAAAAAATCCCAGTATCAATCATTGTGTTTCTACTTTTCAGTATTTCATTTGCATGAGAAGCAGTATATGCTAGTAGCACCACTTTTGGGTAACAGCAAAACACTGCTGAGTGTGGCTTCAGGAAGCCTCGGTGATCAGTGGAGAAACTATGCAGATCTGAGCTTCCCTCCATAGCAAAAGGCATGTTTGTATTCAAGACCTATGGTTATAACTCTTCCACAGTTCTCATAGAATATGATCCACAGAATCAGATGATGTAGTCTGAACAAAATGTCGACAAACTAGTAAGAGGCAGGCAATAGTTTTGGAAATCAAGAACAAAAACAAAACAAAACAAAAAAACCCAGTATCTAACTACTTAGAAATTCCATAGACAATGGAGCTTGGTTACAATACTTTCCTTTTATGCTCAGTTTCTACAAAATGAGTTTGTATTTTCTCATTAAAACAGTCAACACTTTTACAAGCCTGCATTTGTTCATAAATGTCAAATGCATTCATAGGTTACTGTATATCTGTATGACTGCATATTGAGAACTATTCAGGTACATCTGTATCCAAGATACCGACCACAGCACCGGCCAATGAGACAGCAGCAATGATGCTGGTATTTGAAAGGTCACAAGTGGCTTCAGGAGACATCCATAAATGCTCTTAGAAAGCTATGAAGAAAGCCCTTTTAACTGATCTGACAAAAGAACACTGAACTTGATACATTCCAAAAGGCCTGGCTTTCTTTGGGAATCTGGGACAAGATTGGGAGTGAATTTTAATGAAAAAAAAAACATCCCCGAAATTAAGGAGAAACCCAGAGGGCCTCACCTGTTGCGTGGCTGGGATGGTGGAGCGGAAGGGAAATGGCTGCGTGGAGTGGGGGACGGTGCGGGGCTGGTCTTCACGGAACCCGCTGCAGGAGGGGACATGCTGGAGGACGGGTTCCGCATGTAGGCACGGTTGGACGTGGACACCAGCTGCGGGGGTGGGCGGCTGAAGTCTTGGACGGAGGACGAAGCGTAGACCGCTGTGGACTGACTGAGCCATGGGGACTGTCTCCACGAACTGGACCTTGGGGACTCCAGGTTATCTAGAGATTCGCCTCTGAAACAGTGTAAAAAGGATTAGTCACAATTCCATAACACAGCCCACTAAGAATTATTTAACATTACAGCCACTAAAATTTTATATGTTATTTTATAAGCAGGTATTAATCTAACAAGTCCAATTACATATAAATTTACTTTTAAAACTAAAGTTTCTTTTCATCAGAGGCATCCTGGTATTTCATATTCAGTTAACCTTCATTGATTTCTATTTTTATTTACATAGTGCTTAGGTTAAAGAATAAATACCAAAGTAGAAGGCAAATACAAAAAAAAAAATTTTTTTTTAATAAAATACTCAAAGACCACATATATTTACCCTTTAAATCTTTAACTGTTTAGACAATACCAATCTTCATTTTTTTAGACCCTAAATAAATGAAACCACACATCTTTTAAACATCTACATATGTCAGGTATTAGACTAAACACTGTCACAAAAAAATATTGAGTTATAGTTCATATTTTCAGTCATAAAACAGCCAGAATAAAGAAAATCTGACAGAGACTTATGAGGCCTACAAAGTAAATTATTTACTATCTGTCTTCATACAAAATAATTTGCCAGCTGGTTGAATTCCTGGTCAAGAGGACAATTTTCATATTAACCTTTTATTATATAGGATTATATAGGATATATACTGAGTGGCCTGATTATTATGCGTTCAGAGATCATAAAAATCTGGCCACTCAGTGTATGTTGATCTTTCCTATGTATAAAGACTTTATTTCTATGAACTATCTATTCTTATCAATTATCTGTTTCTATAAAGCCAGGGTTTTTCTACTGATTTATAAAAGTTAGTTGTACATTGAGATAATTAGCCCTTTGTCTGTAATGTGTTGCAAGTAATCTTCTTGGAAATACTGAATGAAAGTAGCCTTAGTATTAATTTACACAAAATACATCTTTTAAAATGTTCATCCTCTCATCTCCAATTAATTTATATCTATATATTTTTTCAGAAAGTTAAAATAATTGAGTTTTCACAGTTTGTGAACACAATTAAGATTCCAATCTTAATTGGAATTAATATAAACAAATAAACAGAAGCTTAATTTTGTTTTAAGTCTGCATCCAAGGAAGCACCAAGAACTGCATGAATTATCTAAGTGCCCATATCACACTGCAGACTTTTACATCCAGCTTTGAAATCTGTTAGTCATTTGGTTTAGTCCACATGCATTCCCTGCTTGAGCCACAGTCTCCTTATGAGGAAAACAGAAAGCTTATCCCTGCCTCAAAACATTTCCCCCAGACAAAGCAGCTGGAATGGGCCTGGCACCTAATGAGTGCCCAATGACATTTGCTTTACTTCCCTCTCTCCCACTAAATCTTGGATTAAGAGAAGAAATTATGACATCTCTTCACCCAAAGTAGCCAGCATGTCTAGAAATTAAATATTTGCCTCACAGCACAGAAGATGAAGTAATTCCTAAAACGTCTCACCTTCTCATAATCCCAGGCAGACAAATGGGCTCTTTATTGATGCTGGAACTGCGCTGACGGATCCAGCTGCTGTCAGTGTGAAGGGATGTCCTCTTCCTCATTTCTTGAAGGATCTGTTGCCTCTCCAACTCTGCTCCTGATGGACCTTGTTCCTTCTTGGCGCTCCTCTGTGATGAGCTACCGTTCCCAACTCGGTCTAAATATTTATGGCTTCCTAAATTAAAAACACATCCAAAGCTGCAGGGTTAGCACATTGAAAAAGGAGAGTGGATGCGTCTCCAAATAGAGTGTAGCAAAAAATGTGCCATTGTGCACATATGCTAACATTATCGATTCTCAATGAGGCTGCTGCCTGGGAACCTATCTTGGAAATTCTAATTCCACCCAGAGGCACATCACAGAGCACACTCAGGAAAACTAAGGAGGCTGCCTGAAAAGGAGACAAGCACATTGATTTCAGCAATAGGAAGTGTCTATGTGCTCATTCAGAAGCAGTTTCTCGTCCACTTTTCCCTTCCTCACTAAATTAAGTCAATCGAGCTCATGCTCACTGAATGCTTACTGGGACAACTCCACAGGGAGCTGGGAGTTCTCTCAAAAAACTTACACTTCCCCTGGGGAGAGAGTGAAGACATACATGCATATATCTGTAGATGCCATGACTAGAGCCTCCACGGTATAAGTCTATGACTTTAAGTCATGACCAAATTGCAGGAAAAAGAGCATATTCAATCACTACACTGGCTTTTGTGAAACTGAAAAACAGCCAAGTTGCCAAAGGATAACCAAGGGATGTCATGAGACTTGTTTCTCTTCTAAGAAACTGACAAAGCTACAAGTCAAATTTATGAATGAAAATTAAGTCAGGTTTTATCCTGAAGGCTTTGTCTCACTGGATTTGCTAGTTAATTTCTGGTTTGGTTAGAACATCCATTACTTTAAAATCCTCCCCACCTTGATTTGGATTAGGAAATTTCACCTAGTGATGTATTTTCTTTTACTTCCCAGATTCACTGCTATTGTCATTCTTTCAAAATTCATGATGGGTCTCTGCCTTAGTTCATCTTGAAGTAAGCCATGAATAAGGCCACCAAAGGTTCCTTATGGACATCTATGTTTATATTTGTGTATCACACAACTCACCAATTTTGTCAGATTTGAAATGAAATGTTTTCTATTTTAAAAGTACCTTATTGGCATAACCAAGTTTTTTAGTAAAATATTTGATAACTTCCACTGCCCTCGATTTATTTAGTTTAGGGGAGAAGACATGCATGCCAGGATAATCAGGTTAATAATACCACCACAGATACTAACAAGACAATTTCAGATAATCACACTTGCCATAACTAACAGATCATGTGTTTAATTTCAGAAGAGAATATTATCAATGCAGGTTAAAAATGTTTCATGGAAGACAGAAATACTTAAACCTTCATTTTCAGGGTGGTTAGTGGCAAATTCTGGGGAGAAGAAACCAGAAACCCAAATAGGTGAGACCAGAAAAACCAGAAAGCATCTGGTAAGTTGGAAACTGAGAGAGAGAACACTTTGGTTATAGTTAAGTGTTCCTAATGGAGAAAACAGCAAAAGAGGCTGGAAAGATAAACTAGGACCAGATGATGAAAAGGAAAGGGGAGATGATAGAACCTAATAAAAACTGTAAATTCTGCAAGTTTCAACAAGAAGTGACAAACTGGCTTCCACCAGACCATTCAGACCTGTACATGTGGTATGGCTCACAGAGGGTTTTACATTTTTAAATTCCTTGTCAGTGCTTAAAATATAACACAAAAATCCAGATTTTGTTTGTTTTACTCTTCTTGCAATCGAAATGGTCAGTAATCACAGGCTTGCATTCTCCCACTTGGCAGTAACAACAGGCTGGAGCTGGGTAGGAGTGGCTGTCCACTTAGTTGGGTGTGTTCATATTCACCAAGTTCACCTCAACCCTCACCCGGACCTCCATTCGTTTACATAACTGACCAAAACCCTGCTTCCACAAAGCCTCGTATGCAAACCTTGCATAAAATGATGCCTTTTTCTAATTGTATAACATCAGCTACATGTGTACCTAGAAAGGCACTTTATACTAACAATATCAGGTTCCAAATTGTTTTTGCCAAGTTAGTGAAATCATTAACATTTTGGATTGTCTGACATCTAAGTGTACAATTTCTACTTTATATACAATTTTTAAGTCTCCTGGTATTCTGCAGAAAACTTTCTGTCCCATTCCTTTAGCTGCAAGATGAGATCTACTATACAAAACTCTAGCAGCAGCACTTGGCTAAATTCCCACATATTTCATTAGTTATTTAAAACCATTTTAAGGTCCCAGTACTCCCCCCATTATAAAGTTAGGCCAAAATAAGCAAAAGATAGTTTTGTTTTTTAACACAAATGCTAAAAATATTAGGTATTTTAACTATGTAATCTTAATGAACCGGAAATATCTTGACCTTAAAAATAGTGATCATAGCATGTGATAGCATAAATAAACAATTTTGAAAAAACTTCACATTTACCATTTTTATTTGTGGAGAAATCATCCAGCTCAGTAGTGGATCTGGATTTATTCCTAGGACACAGAACACAGTATATTACACATATCTCATTAAGAACATCCTTTTCATATCTATGAAGAACCAGAAATATAACTTTTTTATGTCAAAGAATTTTTCATGTTGCACCAACTAGCAGGAAATAGTGATATCTCTAGAGGAGAGAAGAGCTTGATGCTAGAAATACATGATCATGTGAAAATCTCCTCCATCTTGTACAATGACTAAGCTAATGATTTAATCCAATTATGTGCTTCAACTCTTTCAGATCCCAGTCTTACTGGGATGTACAAAGCTTTTGTCATCAGGGTACTTAACATCAGATGGTCCTACTTGCTTCATACTGCCCACAGGGATTGGGCCTAAACTGGTAGTCGGCTATCCCCCGAGGGGTCCCAGATTGGAGAGGGTGCAGGCTGGATTGAGAGATACCCCCCACACATAACTTTTTGTATATAATAATGTAATATGACTGTTAGAACATTCATGAGTAGTTTCATTTGTATTAACATAGAAAAAAAATACCTTTTTGACACACTCCTTAATTCCTTGAGGGCATGCTACATCACAAATGCCTAAGTATTTCATATTTTTGAGGATTCCTTAAATTTCCTATCTCTGCAGTCTAATTACTTTCTCCAGGTAATGAGCTATATAATTAAAGCTTACTTAAATATACAAAGAAACCCATAGCTTTAGAAAAAGAGATATACATATTCTAATATTCTAATCATCTACAGGTACCCAGAACCAGTATTATAAGTCAGGTCATTCACCACTAGAACTTTTTCCTAGCTGAATATCAGCCCACCATTACCTGGATAGTTCTTTTCTTTTCCTATCTACCCTGAGCCCTAGTCAGTCTCTTAACTGCCTATACAGAGGAGTCTTTCCTTATCTAGAAGGCAAACTTCCTAAAGAAAATTTAGCTCTGAAAACACAAATTAATGTCATACAATGGGTATTTTTATTGTGTTATGATTTCAAAAGTGCAAGTCATTTTAAAATTATTTAAAAGCATGAAATTTAATGTTTTAGGAAATTTTGAAGTACTTTTCAGATATCTGAAATCCTATCTGTATTCCCTCAAAACTGACCAGTACTTATAACTAAATTAAGAGAGGGGTACATTTCTCATTTCAGATGTCCACATGTAACTTTATTTTGGGCAAGTCTATGCCATGGCTTATAATTGCTTTTTAAAAAGATGTTAAGGCAGGTTGCAAAAAATGAGCACATTTCTCCCCCTGTGCCCCTTCCCCATCCATTTCGGCCCCTCCCATAAGAGGTAGAGTTCTTTTCCTCTCTGTGAACTTGGGTTGGTCCTGTGACTTCACTTGGAATAGTAGAATGTGGCAGAAGCAGTGGTGTGCCAGGTCAGAACTGAGCCTGTGAGGTGCCCGGCATGCTTCCTCTGTTTAATTCTCTCTCTTGGCTCTTCCCAGACACCATGTACACAAGGCTGCACTGCTTTGCTGCATGTTGAAAAGCACACAATCCAGTTGGTCTCATTGCTCCAGCTGATTACCAGCCAACTCCCCAAAAGTCTACCTAGTAAACTGGTAGTAGACGTGTGATGAGTGCAAGCAACTAAAAGAGCTGTCAACTGAGTTCAGCCCAAAAAGCTGACCCACAAAATCATAAATGAAGTTACTAAGCTGAGGGGTAGTTTTACACATCAACCAGCAAGTTCTCTTTGCATCCCACAAAAGATCAAGAGCTATAGTAGTTCTACAAAAATACCTACACTAGCCCTCAGCAATTCATATGAAGTCAATTACTCCTACCAAATTACGATGAAATGTTCTACACACCTGTCACTAGGAAGCAAACCTGAAGATTCTTCCTCTCCCTTCAGTGTATCATAGGAATCAACAGGCCTGAAAGACGGAAAAGGTTTATGATAAAAATAAAACTTTGATTGCCTCCCCTGGGTTTAAGAAATAGATAACAAAACTATGTTATTCTAGCACCTGTATGAGAATGGTCACTTGGTTGAAAACTAAACACATAGAAGAATTTCAATCAATCACTGAAGAAAACAGACCTACAACTACCAACAGACATTTGCAATTCATTCCACAAATACATGCTGTGTGCCTGCTATGACCCAGTAGGGATCTAGGGAAACAAAACAAACGTATTGGCCTCCTAATGCTTACATTTTAGAGGGGAATGCAGGCCAATTACAAGCAAATGAATGCATACCATAAAGCAGAGAAGGGCATATGGAGAAAAGGAATAGGATGAGCTATGTTTTTTTAGATGAGGAATTTTGGAAACTTAGAGAAGGTGACACTGGATCAGAGACTTAAACAAGATGAGTAAAACAACAAACATGTGAGGGAGCACTTCTCCGGGCAACAGGAACTAGAAAATGCACAAATCCAAGGGCAGAATATGTTGTGCATGTTCAAGATAGGAAAGGGGTGATAGTGCAGCTATAACACACCCAGTGAGGGGAAGTCAGAGGAAGGTAGGTAGATCAAAGGGCCAAGCCACTTCATACAAGCCTTCTAAGGCCCTGGGGCGGAGTTCAGGTGACATTCTAATGTGAGGGAAGCCACTTGGAGACTCTGAGCAGGAAAGTAAGGTGACAGGCTCGTATTTACAATGGGATGGGTTCACTCTGGCTGCTTGTGTTCCTTTGTGTAGAGAACGGATGGTAGGGAGCAGGAAAACCTATTAGGTACCTTCAAAGAGAGGAATGGATACAGCTAAGGCAAGCCAATTAAAAATCACATGTACCCATTGGCAAGGGAACAGACCTTCTATACTGGTATATTCTGACTATCGTTTCCTTCTCTCTTTCTGTCTGGTGCTTCTGTTCTTCTGTGTGACGCTTCTTCTCCTCCGCCTGGCGCCTCTGCTCCTCTGCCTGGCGCTGCTGCTGCTCCTCCTCCGCCTGGCGCCTCTGCTCCTCCGCCTGGCGCCTCTGCTCCTCCGCCTGGCGCTTCTGCTCCTCTGCCTGGCGCATCTGTTCTTCTGCGTAGCGCTTCTTCTGCTCCTCAGCCTCGGCCTGACGCCGCATCTCCTCCTGCTCTTCCTGATATTGTTGCTCCTTCAGTTCCCTCTCTTTCTCAATAGTAAGTTGTTCCTGAAGCTTCTTCCTTTGGTCCTCAGTCATACCTTCCTCATGCCACTGTCTCCTCTCCTCTTCTCCTGCTCGGGTTCCTTCCCTGTCAGAAGACTTGGACCCTTCATTCCAGGTGGCTTCCAAGGTGGCAACAGAGGGCTCCCGTGTGGTCAGAGCTGCGATGTTTGAGTTCAGGACCATCAGCTCCTGCACAACCGGGAGGTGAGGGGAGGAATTTGATTAAGATATTTCTATATTCACTTTTTAATATTTATTGTAGTTGGCCCAGAATTCTATTGAAATGATGTTAAATTTTATCACTAACAAAGCCACACATGGGTGACGGAGATGTAACTTAGAAGAGGAAGATACACTTAAGAGTCTGTAGATAAAATAATTTAATTATTCAGTAGAGAAACTAGGAGAAATGTTGAAACATCAAAGCAAAGTTCTGATAAATCAGAGCTCATTAGATTTTTCAAAGAGCTACGTTGGCAAGTATGTGGCAAAAGCCAAGTGAAATGCACAGTCTTCCATTTTTCAGCAGATTTTATCAAGACAGAGAAGGAAGAACGTGTTCCAACACTACCTCATTCAAGAACTTGTAATTCTCTCTCTCAGCCTCCTGCTGAGCTCTTTGCCACTCTTCCCTTAGTTTCTCCTGCTCACGTTGGTATTTTTCCTACAAAAAAAGTATAGCATATTGATTAATTAGCTAATTATTAGGCTGATGTTAATCTTTTTCATTAGCAACTTTGCTAGCCCCACCTTTCACCTCAGTCTTCAAAGACAGAGATATTTATTTTAACCAATCAAATTGTAGTCCTCAAAATAGAAAAGACCCTATATTGAAGTAAAACACAGGTGCTGGGAAAGGGTAGACATTCAGAATTGTACCTAAATGCACCCTTTACCATGGTTGTAATTCTTTAAAGCCCCTAAAGCTAACTGTAAGAGGGACTGGATTTCTCTGCAATAAACCGGCAGTAAGTCCTCACAAAGCCTCCCACTCATACAAAAATCTCATGTTCACTGCACCATTAATACATTATGGCCAAAACATGGAAACAACCTCAGTTTCCTGAGATGGATGACTTGATAAAGAAGATATGAACATATATATATATATATATATATATATATATATATATATATATATATTTTAATAAGGGAGTGATATTTTTTTAAAATATATTTTATTTATTTTGTACAGAGAGGAAATGAGAGAGAGAGAGAGAGAGAGAGAGAGAGAGAGAGAGAGAGAGAGAGAGAGAGAAAGGGAGAGAGTTAGAAACATCGATGAGAGAGAGTCATCGATCAGCTGCCTCTTGCACACCCCCTACTGGGGATATGCCCGCAACTAAGGTACATGCCCTTGACGGGAATCAAACCCGGGTCCCTTCAGTCCCCAAACCGCCGCTCTTTCCATTGAGCCAAACCGGTCTCGGCTGAACATATATTTATTTGAATACTACTCAACTATAAGAAAGGATAGAATATTGTCATTTACAACTGTATGGATGGATCTTAAGATTATTATACTAAATGAAATAAGTCAGAAAGACAAGGTTTCACCCATATGTGGGATATAAAACAGAAAACAACAAACAAACAAAAGATACAAATAAGCTCATAAACATAGACATGGTGGTTAACAGAGAGGGATGGGGGGAGGAGGAAGAGAATAAAGGAGGCCAAGTATATGGTGATGGAAGGAGAACAGACTTTGGGTGGTGAGTGCACAATGGAATATACAGATGATGTATTATAGAACTGTACACATAAAAATTATAAAATGTTATTGACCAGTATCACCCGAATAAAAATTTAAAAAATAGTACATAGAAAAAAAAAAAGAAATCCAAACTAGAGAGCTTCATATTTTCTAAAAAATAAACACAAGGGTTAAAAAATTATTTTAAAAGGAGGATTCTGGAAAGCTTCAAAATGAAAGGTAACTGTCTTTGCATTTTAATAGAAAATTATTTTAATGCAAAAAATAATAATTGCATGTTAATACAAAATGCACTACTTATCAAAGTATTTGTTCATTATCAGGTTACTGGCTTTTTAAATTTTTTTTTTTAATATATTTTTGTTGATTTCAGAGAGCAAGAGAGAGGGGTAGAGACAGAAACATCAATGATGAGAGAGACTCATTGATTGGTTGCCTCCTGCACACCCCCTACCCCTCTGGGGATCTAGCCCATAACCCTGGCATATGCCCTAACCAGGAACCAAACCATGACCTCCTGATTCATAGGTCGACACTTAACCACTGAGCCACATGGGCTGGGCAAATTTCTGTTTTCATTTGCTTCTCAATACTAGTGGCATTTAGGATAACAACAGGCCTGCTTCCTGTTGCTCCATGTTATTCTGCTCTACCTGCAGCAGGCGGTCCTGCTCCTTCTGCCACCTCTCCTGCCGCTTTCGCTCCTCCTCTTGATCCCACGCCCAGCGACTCGGGGCACTGATAGTTGGAACTGGAAGCTATCCAGTTATGAGAGAAGAGATGCAAACAAAGAATATGTTACATCATTAAGTCACCTATGGAAGCATATTTTCATACATAAATTATTCGTATCACCCTATGTCTAAGCTGTACCAAAGGACAGTTGGCTTTATATTTCAAAATAGGTCTTTTCAATTTGAAGAGACTGGGTCACCTTATTTATTCCTAAAACAAGTGAATGCTACTTACATCAGGAACCACAGAATCGGAGCTTCCTGTATGGCAGCATGCAAGTAAGGAAGAAAAAAACACAGCATAAGACTTCTCATTTCTATGAAATAATTCCATTCAGAGAGTTGTGTCTCTAGCTATTTCTATGCCAGTATACTAAGTGATATCATTTTTTTTTTAACAACAGGAGTAAATCCTTTTTTTCCCTCTTAAATGCCATCTGTTTGTTATTCATCTTCCAAATTCAAAGTCAGTTTAAGAGAAAAAGGCAGGAAGAAAGATCAACTATAGGTGCTAAGAGTACATCCAAGTTCTAGATAATAGCGCTGGATCAATGGTGTATTTCTGAATAAGTTAGAGGGTAAGTTTATTAATAGACTGGGATACTATTTCATAGTTTGGCATATTTAAAAAAAAATAATTTCAAATATTACAACATCTACCAAATCTAATTTGTACTTGCCACTATTCAATTACTATGTGAGAACTCTAAGCTCTTTTTCTTAAATAAGCCATCACATCATACATGTGCAAGAAACCTTTCCTTTCCTTCTACTGTTATTTGAAACATAAATATTCAAACTTCATATGTATGGCATAGTGTTATTGTTTTACTTTTTCACAGCGTTATTCTATTTAGTCTTAGGGGCATCTACATAAGTGTGTGTCTGTAGTATAATGAATACAAACAAGTAAGCAAATTTCATAAAATATGTGTCATATAGTATTTTTAAATTTTCCTGAAACCTCAGCTGTCAAGTTATTCACTTATACAATTATATTTTTAAGAAAACTGTTTTGAGACTTAGGAAAATATTCTTCCCTTAAAAAGCCTGCTGAAGAAAAGTAAGTAAAAATTAGAAGAAAGAAGAAAAGTAATTGCTTTATTTTAGTCAATCTGAGCTAGAAGTATCATACTGCATCAACTAAACTACCAGGGAAAAAGAGAAGTTTAACAAAAATATATCAAAACCACTAAGGATACTGACACAAATAAACGTTACACATGCATAGCTGGTGAACTATTTCTATGTGTGGTCAAAAGACCGTAATTCAACAAAGGAAGACTACTAGGAAATTGACAAAATATGAAAATCCATTAAACATCGTGTTACAAGGTAAGTCTGTGAATGTTTGATAATCTTAAAAGTAAGAAACCATAACATTTTAGACACCAACAGCACACACTCCCCACTGACCGAGCCATTGCATCTCAAATGTTTGGATTTTACTTTTAAGTTCTTGACAGCGAAACACAGAGCTCGAACTGCATTCATGAGACAGAGCATCAAGCAAACATGAGAGGGAAGAAAATGCCACATGCATAGCACATCGTAAGGGAGCACTGCCCAACTACACCAACACAGAGAACCTCAAAATTCATTTGCTCACCAATGTCACCAAAATTTATTTACTTTTAATTTACTTTCAAGTCAACAGAGCAGTGCTATTAATACTCCAAAGCCACCATCCCAATAATGATAGACAACTCTGCTTTTTTATTGGGAACATTCTCCAGAACCAAAAAGCAGAGATCTTTAGAAAGTTAGCCAATGATATGTTGGTGTAATCTAAGAATATGCAATTTGTAGGAAGTATTAAGGCTTAAATGAGATGCTTCATTTCTTACTGTCACCCAGTGGGGGGATGGGGGAGGAGTGTGTGTTTAATAGCATCTCAATTTTTTAATTCAAAAAGAAAAAAGAAACTTCAGAGGTGCAAAGGACACACAAAGACCCATTACCACAGAGGTAGACCCATGAGCTGTAAGAAAAGCCTGATGACCCTAGGGAAAGAATGGAAATGGGTTATGTCGTCGGTCATGATGACAGCCAAACCGAAGAGGCTCAGTGCCCAGCACCACAGACCATCAGGAAAGGTGGAGGGTGGGAACAATTCCATGAAAATGCATGAATTGTTAGCTTGGTGGTTTACCTTGTTCAAAAAATTGTGATCGCCTTTTTAAGTTTTTCAAAGAAATAGGTTCAGATGCTAGTTGAAAAATACAAAGAAAAATCAATAAGATGTCATTCATTTTAATTTCTCACCACTGGAAAACTAAATGATACTTGCCATATATCTTTCTCATCTATAGCAATATTATTATTTTAATAATAAAAACGACAAAACTGATAGCCATAGAAGATATGTATTATTTCATTGCACAGAGACACACGTATTTTTAGTAGTCTATGCTATATTCAAATTAGTAAAAGGAACTAATATTTTGATTAATAAATTTTAGCAGATAAGCAGTCTAGTTTCACAAAAGTCAAAACAGTTTTAGGAAAATGGAAATTAAATATTTTTGCTAAGGTCAATAAAAAAATATCTTCTAGTACAAGGAAAATTGTTTGTAACGAAGAGTTTTCACAATATAGCTGAGTAAAACAGAAACTAAAGAATAACAAGGAAGAGGACAAGAAAATAAATAATAACCAGAGAAAGAAAAAATAAAAGCAAATGCTAAACCTAAAACATTCTTCTAACTAGAATACTTTGTCCTCATTTTCAAGATCTTTCAGTCACCAACTTTAAGTAAAACAAATGGAGTCCTGTCAAATAAAAAAGAAAAAGAAAAAATTCTGACTTCTATGGGTCTGTCGCAATATTATGGCAAATGATTATTATACTTCCATTTATTCATAAGATATAAATGAAATTATTGCTTGATATTCATTGTCGTGTAGTTATCTAAAGAAAAAGCTGAAATGACAGGCCTATGGTGCCACAGTCACTAAGGAGTTAAGTGTCTTATCGGTTTTCTTGGCCTGAGTCACTGGCAGAACAGGACCCGGATGTCTTATATTTAAGATCATAAAAAAATAAAATAAAATAAGCCATTCTTTAAAAACTCCTTTGATAAAGAATGCAATATCAAATAAAACATAGTCACTTCTGATGGTCAGAAACTAAACACAAAGGTACATAATCAATAGAGGGAAATGTATAAACTTAGTTTGGCTTTGACATTGGACTATGGACTGGCAAATGCAGATTCAAAACCAACAGCCTGCTGTGAAAGCCCAGCCGGATTCCTGGCAATCTAGTTTCACGTTAAAAGAAATTTCATCTTCTGTGGGTCACTTTCCTGGCCTATTTCTTTTGTATGCCTATGGAAACATGTGGTAGCTAAATTATTTATAGGCCAACAGAAGGAGGAAGAGAATGATAACTCCATTAAGCAAAATTATTCTCCATACTATGCCTGCGCTTTCATTACAAATGGGTACTTTTGCTAACAACTGTCATTGCCCTGGGCACTTCCCTATTAATACTAGCCGCCTCCAAGCTTGTCCCTTTCACAACACTAAAGGGAGGAAGGAAACCTCATTCATCATTTTGTGTTTAACCAAGATTCCCTTTGGCAGCATTCCACAGCAAGAAGGCCCATGGCCTGGGCAAAACCAGTCTTTCTTCCTTGGCTCAGGCACACAAGCTCTCAAAGCTCCTGGACATGCTACCAATGCTTTGTTTGCAGAGCCTGCACCGTTCTACAGGACAGCCCCGCGCCCTTCCACATGGCTGCAATCTGATCTGGGTGCTAACCTTTTAGTTTCAACTTGCAGGGGATCAGTTTTTCTTTCACTCACAGGTATTAATGTTTATAGTAACACAACTGTGGTGCTATGACTCTTCTTACACTATACATGTGAGTTATAATGGTGATGTCTACCTTTTAACTCAAAAGTACTGCTTTCATCACGAATCCCATTGATTTCCTTGGACTCGGTAGTCTGGAAAGAACAAAAATGCCGGTTAACAACATTCTCTCCAATTGGACTTGGGGCTTAAACAATGCATTTCCTGTTAATGCAAGTATCTTTTAGTTAAATGAATTGTGGAGGATATTAACACATTCTTTACAGTCTTTTACATGTAATAGATATTTTTTTATGATTCTTTAAAATTTGTGAAAGGATTAATGACCAGCTACAAGCATGGATGGCTTTAAATTCAATCAGTCATTAATTTTTTTTTTAAAACAAATAATGATTAGTCCATTTGGGCTTATATTTATGAGTAAGCAACGTAGTTATATAGGATTCCCTAACATTTATACTTGTCTTACATGATGTAGCAAGACCGCCTTGTTAGATAAAAAAGGGTATCATAGGATAACTACAATATATATCTAGAGAGTCAACATAAACATTTATTTGAAATTTTAAATCTAAGTATTCCTCTGATACTTAGAAAAATTTCTACATTATAATTATTTTAATCAATGTAACTGAGTATCTTTTAACCACATATATAAGTCTACCCACCAAATTCACTTACTCAAGATTAAAAATGCTTCATGGGGTGTTAAATTGCACACAACTACTATACTTATTTTACCACTAAAGATCAAAGAAAGCATAGAAAAGCCATAATGTATAATTTTACATAATTAATACTTCACATTCACAAAGATCTGAGAAATGGGCATAATGATGAAAGATTGGAAAGAAACGCCTGCAAAACACCAGTATGGGATCTTTTAATTTACCATTATGTAACTCATTATTACTCTAATTATTAATGAGTAATGCTCATGATGTTTAAAAATACATTTTACCCTCATTACTATAAATGATCTTATTTAATTATTTGTCTTTTAAAGTAGCATCAAAATTGTCCAAACAAAATGAATTCTTTTCCCCCAACACACATTTCCTACAGTTACTTTGCTCAAAACAAATGTTCCTCTTTCTCAAAATACTTACAGAATTCTGAAGGCTTTCTGAGAAATCAGTCATTATTGATAGATTTGAAGATCTGTCTGAGTTGTAAATTCCAGAAGTTGCATCAATCCACTTTGTTTCAGGTGAACCTATAATTTTGGTAGCCATACTGGTGAGATTGAGGGTTTTATGCCGTATAAATGGCAGGGAAGGCTGGTCTTTGCCCCAATCTGATTGGCACGTGAAAATCAAGAAATGAGTACACATAAATGTTGACATAGAAAGAACAAAGTTACTGAATGCACACATACAAAATTCACACAAGACAGACAAACAAATCGGGTTGTGTGTGAAAGAAATGAAAAGGATTTTACCAAGAGACCACCTTCCGAAAACACAAGGGTTAGATCATGTTAATAATGAAAAGACTAGCAAATTTGCTGAATCTTTCTGTAAACCAGGAATGGATATTAATGTTTTTATATCAAAAGTTGGTAGGTCTGGGGTGGTTTAATGTCCATTCCCATCTAACTTCTGTAACTAAAATATACAATAATGAAGTGTATTTTGAAAGTTTGAGAATGAAAATTTGAGAATGAATAACAGAACTTATTGTGAAATTTTCTTGAGAATGGAAGGCAATCCCCATTTCACTTCTATTAACTAGGAAATGTAATAGTGGAATGTATTTTGAAGGTTTCCTGAGAATGAACGCAGGAATATGGCCTACCATGTTATCTCTTATACCAGTTACAGTTTTGGTGCTGTAGAAAAAGTCCAATCATAGTCTAATTCTTAATACTCAACATGACTCCCCAGTGCAGATACAACTACAGTATCCTTCAAAAACAAAATGAGAGAGATATTTGAACGAATTTTTTTTAAAACAAACAAACAATAATCTTCAATTGATATATGAAAGTCAGTCACAAATGTTTAAAAATACATTTTACTAAATAATGTAGAATTCAGTAAATTTGCTAGTAAAAAGTTTTCAGACAGGCTATTCAAGGAAGTATTAGTCATGATTGTCATAACATAACCAAAAAAATATCTTTTAAGCAAAAAAATTTTTAAATGAAAAGAAAAAAATTGTTATTGAAGCAAACTTATAACCACTTGCCAAAGACCAGCTCCCAGTTTAAAAAGCCAGACACAATGAGAAACCAACTCACCAGACTTTCCATAGCGCCTGATATCCATTACTAGGTTTCCAGTTTCTTGAGCATTAGCCATGGCTTCTTCCCACTCTTTAGTGTCTTTATATGAAAACTTGGTATTGTTGATGGCAATAATTTCATCATCTACCTGTAGCTGAGAAAATTCTGCTGGGCTACCTAAATAGAGCAAAGTAAGCAACCAATTTAAAAACAAACAAGTCCTATGGTCATTGATTATTTAAATTAAAGAATAAATGACTTTTTAACCTCAAATAACCATTTCTCGTTATTTTTTAGGTGAAAATGAGTTACAAAATTTCTTAGTTATGAAACATTTGAGTATCAGCAATACACAAAGCACCAAGGGCATATTTTATTGTATAATATATGTCATCTTCATTAGCATTCAAAGGACAAATGATAAGATCATCTGTTCAAAAAAAATTTTTATTAACCCCCTCAGAACAAAGAAAATGTTCAGTTATTTTAAAATTTTAAATATGAAATAAACTACACTTTAGTTGAGCTTCCAAATCCAAATGCATTTTGGAACAGAAGGAAACAGGGCCACTTAAAACTGATTAAAATTACTACTTACCATTATCTCATTGGAGAAGTCTTGAAATTTCAAAGAAAAAGCAATTTAGCATGCAATTTTATGTAGTTAAAATATGCAAACGAGAAACTCCTCTTAAATACCATAGTTTTCTCTTTAATTTTTGGCCCTGTGGTAGGGCTTGACTTGGCATAGTCCTGAGTGGGGGAGGGGCAATCCTTTTGTCAAAGCCCCAGAGCATCCTGAGGTCTCCATAGGCCATAGTTGCATTAGGACACTCTGAAAACACCATTTAGTTACACAGCACAGATAGATCTACCACATACCCAGATGATCAGGTCCTATTAGCATTTTCAAATATTAAGCCTAACATTTTGACAAATGAATTCTGTAAAAGTCACAAAAATAAGACTCTTCAAATCTAAAATTAGTTAGCAAGGAGAACAAACAACATGTGGTTTGTAACTCAACTATCAGTCTCAGGAAGAGGATGTATCTTCTCGCTTTACTGCCGTATTTTCCACATGTGTGTTCTCCTGTATCAAATAAACCGATGTCGGGGGGTGGGAGGAACAGCATAAGGTAGCGAAGAAGAAGAAATTTCAGTAGAGCAAAATCTATGAATTACCTGCTTCCACTGATGCTACGAAGATCCCGGAAATATCCCATTTTACTGTAAACCCAAAGTCAAGGCCGTTCCCAGGCGTCTGGTTTATGCTGATTCTCATATCACTGAACTGATCCTGAAAACAAACATGAAACGGTGGGATCAGGTGTCGCTGGCACCCACGTAGAGGAAAGTCTATCCATGAAAGAAGGGAGGCTGCAGGCAAGGTACACTTCAATTATGTCATGATCAAACGGGAGCTGCATCCTTTCTTCCTGAGTTTGATAAAAATCTTCATTTATACACATATTACCATGTTATTATTTTTCTCCTACATTAGGGGAAATTTATATCAACAGATTCTTTTTCACATATCAATTGGCCACTGATAAAGTTTATGCTTTTGCTCACTATATAATTGGGTCTAATGTAAAGACTATTTGTTTTTACTCAACCAGGAATGCAGTTGAGTAAAAAAATGTCTCTGTGTAAGTGTGTGTGTGTGTGTGTGTGTGTGTGTGTGTGCGCGTAATGGAACATTCTTAAGTCCCGAGAAAAGGAACATTCTGCCGTTTGCAACAACATGGATGTATGGTGCTAAGTGAGGTAAGTCATGCAGAGAAAGACAAGTACTGTATGATACCATGTATATGTGAAATGTAAAAAAAGCCCAACTTGTAAAAATAGAAAATGGTGTTTACCAGGGGATGGAGTTGGGGAGATAGGACAGATGTTGTTAAGCGCACTCATTGCACAAAGCAGTTAATAAGCCCTAGAGATGTAATGCACAGTAAAGTGAACATAGACAACATGTTGTATTAAAATCATCACAGTTGTTGGAGAATAGAACTTAATGATCCTAACCTCTAAAGAGAAAGAGTGATTATATAACACGATAGAGGTGCCAATTAGCACTACATTTATACAGATATAAATGTATCAAATTAACATGTTGTACACATTAAATTGACAGTGTTATATGTCAAATTCAATAAAATGTCAGTTTTGAAAATGCAAAAAAATATTTAAATCATTTATTTTGAAAATGTCACTATGCTTATAAAAAAGCTTCAAACACTGAACTTAGCTGAATCATTTCAAGGGGTTCACAGACACATAATTCAGCGACCAGGAGCATGCTTATCTGGGACAGGTACCACCCCTAAAGAGCATTCGAAATTTAGCAAGGCATTTTTGCTTGCCTCACTGCCACATGAAGACAGCTGCAAGATGCTGAACTATGTGATCTCAGAGGAACCAGCAATAAGAAGCCAAGACACCCCTTTCTGAGACACCCTGAGCTGCAGGCCACAGCTTCCTTGAAGTGACATTAGTTCAATAGCCACTTGGACAATAGGTAGAATTTTATTTCTGTGTCCATCATTATACTACACAGCAACACATTCTAAGTTGCACAAACATTTTAAGTTTTACAGTATACTATGCCTGTGGAAATTTAACTATGTTTCATCGTTTGCATGCTTTGTTTTGGGTAAACAGCAGATATGAAGTTTAGTTTAATGAGTTTTTCAGACTAGTGTGTTAGTTCTTTGATTCATAATCAAAGAATTTAGACTTAAGAGTTTAGTCTATATATATATATGTATGTATATATGTGTATGTATAATATATATATATATATATATATATTCTTAAAGCCACTTTATTTTTCAGAAAAATACCTACAACTTCTACATTATAATTTGGCAGTTAAACTGAAACTTAGGCCCTACTGAACAATTCCTAAAGCCTTATGCTTAAATTTTTTAACCTCTAAAACAGGTTTAAAATCCAAGTGACAATATTCTGAGAAAAAATTTCTCATTATCTAAGAATTAGAAGGAAAATAGTAAGTAAAGATTTGAGAACATATTATCTAATATGGCCACAAAAACTAGGTGCTATAACAATATCCACTTATTCATTTGCTCAACATTCATTAATTGTACATCTTATTCTGCATATGACACAGTGCTTAGCTCGCTGGGAAATAAAGATGGATTAGGCATGGCTCTTGCTCTTGAGAAATAATTACTGATTCTTGAACAGTGGGTATGGAATTTTTGAAGAAAATGTTTGTAACTAATAACATAAAAAGGTTTCATCAGAAAGCTTGTAAAGCAGTTTAAATATGGGAACTCAGATGCAGCTCCTGAGAACACTCATTAATAATCAGCCTAAACACCAATCCCCAGAATAATACTCTGCTATGAATAGACAAAATTACTAGTTAGTTCTACGCCTTAACAAAAACCACCACACACTTAGAGATGACTCAACAAAAAATAATTGGTCATCTTCACTACTCTTACCCTCCCAAATTCCAACTTAAACCCAATTAAAATGCAGAATCTAATGCTATATAAGGGCAGAGAGGAAAATGATAGGTTAGATATACAAGAAACTGAGTTTTTTATCATTAAGAATAAAAGACAGGATGGAGATTTAATAGATAGTCTCAAAGTACATGAAGAACACTTTGTGGGAGATAGCAAGTGAATGTTTTCTGGCAAATACAGGATAAAAACAAACAAGTTTAAGCCATGGACGGGAGAGTCTCCCAATTATATTAGACCAGAAGAATTGTCTCACAAAGGGCTGCTCTTACCTTGGAAATAAATCTCTACTTGGACATATTAAACAAAAGGGCAGGTAACCATCTCCCTGGAAGTTAACAGAGGACAGCCTCAATGTGGCTACAGCCTGGCAGACTGTTGTGTGTGGATCCTTGGCACTGTCCACAGGCAAAGAAGAAGAATGAACCACCTGGACAATTGCAGTCCATTCTGTCCATAATCAGGTGACTCAGGCATGTCACTGAGCCTGACAGAGCCTTCTCGCTCACAAATACATTGATTTTCAACTTTTTCTTTTTTAAAACCCTATAAAAATGCACAAGTGAAATCCTGATGCATACCATGTCCCTCCAAAAGCAATATATAGCAAGAATTAAAACTAAAGGGTGGTTATAGTTTCAGGTTAGGGGCCCCAGAGCCCCACCTGCATGGCCTCCTCATGGCAATCCTTCCAGAAGCACTGTGGAGTTCAAGGTTATTAAATTAGGTTACCCCTGAGACTTCTTACAGGGGAATATAGCTATAATTATAGCCAAGCATAAACTCTTCAGCAATGATTTCACTTAGGATTTCTACTCCCATGTTTTTCTCTGCATGATGCATGTCACATAAGTATCTTACAAAGGATCCATGCTTCAGAAGATAATGGAGAATTACTTTTTGAACTGGAGGGAACCATGAGTATAAATTATTGGGGAAAATCTAGATTCTTCATGGCTGACAAACTATTATCCCTAGTAGTTTAAGTAGTCTATGCCAAGAACAGTAAAATATAGTTAGTTATTAACATATCAGCACTTAAAAATGAAAATAATTTCCTTCAAATCAGGTATAATTTAAACAGAACTATATACTAAAAACTGTGGTTTTTAAACAAAAACATGATCTGGAGTAGTAATAATAAGATTTATTTTTATGACATCTAGTGAATTAAGATTCTCATATATCACCACTGATGGGAAATAATGAAAAACAGGGTTAATCTTACAAAATAACAAGACAGTCAGTCTCCTCAACTTTTCCAACTAGATAAATGTTTATTTAAGGGAAGCCTATTTAAGTTGATAAAATTCAACACTAAAAGTAGATTCAGGCTATAAAGTCATAAATACCAGGGGAAATAAATAATCTTGGATTTCTGTACAAAAGGCATTTGAGTGTATTTTTTTTCCAAGGTCTAAGGTGAGCCTTCAAATCACGGCTTTGATCTGGCACTGGACTAACCTCCTTCACCAAAGAGACTGCATACCTCCTTCCTCCACTTCCCCATTCCAAAGACTCAGGGCATTTCCAGCTCTAACACTTACTCTATCAACCCTTTCCAAACCTATCTCTTACCTATCAGATCCATTAATAGTCCTCATCCCATCAGACATCACCAACTATTCCTTTTTTAAATACATTTTTTATTGATTTTAGATAGGAAGGGAGAGGGAGAGGGAAATAGAGATATCAATTATCAGAATCAGCAATCAGCTGCCTCTGATACGCCCCACACTGGGGATTGAGCCCACAACCTGGGCATGTGCCCTGACTGGGAATCAAACCCTGACTCCTGGTTCATGGGTCAATGCTCAACCTCTGAGCCACACTGGCTGGACACCACCACCAATTCTTGCTTCTAGGAAATAGTCTCCCAAGTCATCCATTATTTCACTTTCTCCTGCCTTTCTCCTCCATCTCTCCGGACACATCAGTTTCATTAATATGTTCTTCCTCTTTCCATTTTCACTTTGTTGTTCCCGCCATAGTCTCCCATCTTTGTGACTACAGCCTTTCCTGAGTTACCTCCTTCACTGCTATATCTTTAACTACTAACAAAGCCCAACATATCCAAAACTACATTCATTAGCTTTCTCCCCTAACCTGCCCTTCCTCCTCTTGTTTTTTATATATCGGTTAATTACTTGACTATCCAACCAGATGCCTACATTAGAATACCAGGTTCTTTCTGGGGCTCTTCCTCTTTCTTCTCTTAACCACTCCCCACCCCGACTCCACACAATGATCCTCACCCCCACTACCCACCACACACACATGCATTTAATAGTGTTGTCAAGTCCACAATCCATAATTCCACCTGAAACCACCCCATCCTTCCATCTTCCTTCAAGTTATCGTCTTAGTTTGGTGTCCCCTCTAAACTACTGTGGTCACCGCCCAATAGGCCTCCAGTTTACTTTCCCCCATCTTCCACACAGCTGCCAGAACATAGCAATTATTATATTACACCTTATTTAAATGTGCGCAGCTCCTTACTGTCTACTGGGTAGATTTTAAACTCGACAATTCAGAAATAATTCTGATACATATGTACCTTCCTCAAAACAGTCTTAAGAATTATTTTCTCTTTATAAACCAGAAGATAGTTAATCCCTATGGGCTCCAAAATGGTAAAAACAGGGCAAAGTTAAAATAAGTCAACATTTGGTGTTTTTCCTTAAGGCAGTTCTCAAATTTGAGCATGTCATATTTCATAAACATTAAGGTCAGAGAAATCATATTTGTGGCCTGACCATTTAACTGGTCTGGAGCATGTATATAACTTTTAAATCTCAAGAATTTCATTGGTAATAAGGTGGATGATACCACCTACTTTGCAAGGTTATTGAGAGGAATAAATGAAACATTTAAAAGGTGCCAAGGCAGGTGGTTGGTGCCTAGTAATTACCTTCTTTTTCCCATGGAAACAATGTTATCCATTATATATATGCTGGTTAAGCAATTAAAGAAAATCCTATTTAACACTCACAAACATAGCTGTGAAGCCAACAATACTCAATCAACATTCAGCAAACACAGACCCAGGCACTGGGCTAATAGTGAGCAAGACCGGCTTGTTCCCTGCCTTCACACAAAGTCAGCTCCAGTGAAGGTGACAAGCCAATAAAATGCATGTATGAAGCTATGATAAGGAAAGCCCTGGATCTTATTACAAGGGGCATTTAATAGGCTCAGGGGTCAGGAAATGGACATGTAAAAAGCTTCCTTCCTTCCATACCTATCATTCTAGATGTGGGTACTGTTTTAAAAAAAAAAAAAAAATCAGGGGAACAGATTCCAAAATGTGGGCTTAGATGGGATTTGAGAATTCAGGGCTCTGACTGGACAAAATAAAATGAAAACCTGTAGGTAATACCAATTTGGGGGGAAAACATGAAAGCCACACCTGGGGGTGGTTAGAAGAGGATGAAGGACTCTCTCCTCTTGCTCAGGGTCACCCCCAGAATTGTCCCAGCAGCCTGGACTAGCAAGGGAAGCAGGCAACAAAGCAACACAAAAAGAGAAGTAGGGAGAAAGGGAATAGAGAGGACTAAAACCCCAGAGCTCAGCAAAGGAGATGGGAAAGAAACCCCTGTAGGCAGAAAATGAGGTCATATCAATTTCTTCTCTTCATTATGCCTTTTCTTTTTTATGGCATAACACCACTGTTATGCCATAAAATTCTGTGATAGGCTCCTAACCAGTCTCTGTCCACAGACTTCATTTCCTTAAAATAGTTCTATGCAACATCTCAGTGCTTACGTTCCTAAAACAACCATTCATCTTAAAACTCCCACATTAAAGATCCCATAAGGACCTAAGTTACCTGCTGGATAAATTTATGCTTCAGCCTAGTAATCAGGGCCCTAAATGCAAATCAAGTCAGTAAACACTTCCAACTCTGTGCAAAGGCCGTGGAGGGTATAAAGAACACTAGTGACGAGACACAGGGAACGCATGGAATAAGGAAGAATTCAGCAGATGAAGCTTTCAAGGGTGAAAAATTCAATTCCAACTTGGGGAGGGAGATATTTGTATTCACAAAGGAAAGGACCCTCCTGGGCTATAAAAGGAGGACTTCTTCAAAAGACGGAAATGAGTGAAATAAACAATTTCAAATGGGTGACAATAAAAACAAATATTTATGTGTTCAAGCAGTCTCATTTGGCTAGATCACCTACTTCCTCTCTGTTTCCCACAACACGGTGTGGTGTAGGTAGGAAGCTTGAGTCAGACTGCCTGGGTTCAAATCCAGACTCCACCACTCAGTACCTTGCAGGGCCTTGGACAAGTACTATGCTCACTCCCTGCCTCCATTTCCACAACTATAAAGCAGTGATCTAAAGATCACTGAGGACTAACAAATGCCCTGAGGTTGGTAATCCCTCAATAAACAGCCGCTAACTGCACTACTACAGGAGTTTGAGACCAGTGATGAGGGACCGCAATACTCCCCTGAATGCCCTGAACTTCACTGCGCAGATCACTGAGGCTTTGCAGCGAGAGATTAGTCCAACCTGGCACCACCCAGGTGCCTCCGATGCCAGGCTCTGTGGAATGCACCAACACATGTGACTATTTACAAAGCATCCGCATTGATGGGGGCAGGGCCTGAACTTCCACTGAAGCAGGGAGAAAAAAAAAACATAACACCAGGGAAGATTCTGGAGGAAGAAAGAAAAGGACATTCCTAGCAAAAGTGAAAGTAAAGAGCGAGAATGAAGACCCGAAGAACAATTATAAAACTACCAAGACACCTGGTTCAGCCACGCGCTATGCTTTAACTTTTCCATTCTCTGAACTCCTGGAATTATAGTTTGGCCAAGAGTTTGGAGGAGTGTTCCATATGCCTTGGAACATTAATGACCAACTGTTTTATGCCTTCACAGTGTTTTCCCCTTTTCGGTGACATGGGCGGGGGGGGGGGATGCTACATAAGCTACTTCGCTCTGAAGTGACACACCCAGCATCTCCGTGATGGGAAAGTGGTCATAGGACACACACCTATGTTCAAGAACTCTAATGGTCTCACTCGTTAGATGAAGCCTAATTAGCTTGGTGACAAAGAAGCCTAAACCCATTAAGGATGAAACCTGACACCATGCCATGTTAATTCAGGTTCCTCTGACATGCACTAGGCGGGGACACACCCACACACCACACCTAGCCTCTTCTTCTTAATCCGTGGATGGAAGCTAGTCAACTGTCACCCAGAGGGAGTTGGGTGCACCTAGCGCCCACACACTAATCAGGCTGCTTGTTTGGATTTGTTGCTTGAAAGGGGAAAACTCGCATGCAAGTCCATAAAACAAAAGACACCTGGCTGCTGTTTGTATTATTCATCCATTGGTGCCTTATGTTCCCCAAGTATAACATAGGCTATTGTTCTCATCTGAAACTCATAATGCTAATTAATATTTTCAATTCTTTAAAATGAAGTTAAATACCTGAAACTAGAAGTTTCAATTCTTTTAAATGAAGTTAAATACCTGAAACTAAATTTCATTATTGAAAAATAAAATTTTTTAAAGTAATAAAACAAAATGAAAAGTTATAAAAGTAACTTCACACTAAGGATTTTAGCAAGCTGCAAAAATTTACTTTAGATATAGGTTTGTAAATATGCATGGGAAAAGCTTAAAGAAATATACCTAAATGTTAACAAAGATCACCCATTAATAATGGAATTACTTTCCTGCTTTTCCAAATTTTTGCAACTACATAGTACTTTATAATCAGAAGAAAAAGCTTAAAGCTGTAAAACTTTATAGAACTAATAAAAATCCAATATACCAAAAAAAATATGCTATTTCAAATTATCTATACTAATAAAAGGGTAATATTGGTCACAATGCCTGGCAGGGGGGTTGCAAGGGACAACCAAACTACTGACCAGCAGGCTGCATGGGGCAACCAGGCCGGCAGGAGGGGCAGTTGGGAGCAACCAGAGAGGGTCAGTTAAAGGCGATCAGGCTGGCAGGCAGAGGCAGTAAGGGGTAATCAGGGTGGTGTGTGTGTGTGGGGGGGGGGGGTTGTTAGGGGTGATCAGGCAGGCAGGAAGGTGAGCAGTTAGGAGCCAGCAGTCCCGGATTGTGAGAGAGATGTCCAACTGCCAGTTTTGTTCCAATCCCTGACAGTTTTGGTCCATCCCCCTGTGCACAAATTTTATACACTGGGCTTCTAGTTTCACATAAAGTCTATAACTTAGGCCATGTTCTATACTTGGAAAACAAATAGGAAGAAACCAGAAAAATCTTTAACCACTAAGTTAAAAAATCACAAAAGCTCCTCTATGCGAAGGGATTAATATATTAAAGTGCTTAAGGATGGTTTTTTCTAAAAGAGAAAAGCTTGATCTAGACCATTAACAGCTTTATAGCTTGCATATAAAACATACTAAAAAAAACAGTCATGCCGAAACCAGTTTGGCTCAGTGGATAAAGCGTCTGCCTGAGGACTGAAAGGTCCCAGATTCTATTCTGGTCAAGGGCATGTACCTTGGTTGCGGGCCCATCCCCAGTAGGGGGTGTGCAAGAGGCAGCTGATTGATGTTTCTCATTGATGTTTCTAACTCTCTATCCCTCTCTCTTCCTCTCTGTAAAAAATCAATAATATATATTTATATTTTTTAAACAGTCATTACTTAATAATTCTGTTGTCATCTTTGGGGATTTGAAGAAGGAAAAACTACAAATACCTCCATTCTTCATCTGATGGTATATTTGTTTGGATTCCAAATGTTAAGAAAAACAATTGTCATACTGTAACTAACCCTCAATATTACCATTAGGACTAGACTTTTTAAAGTATAAAATGAGCACTGAAAGTAACTAGAAGGTTAATATCATAGAGAAAGAAATGCCATGTCCCTAGAGGCCTTCACCTCTTGTGTGTACCAATTTCTCCTTTCGGTCAGTTAATGTCCCTGAAAAGGGGCATTTATTATCCATTTTATCTATTAGATCTGTATCTAAAATTTCCCGAGTGAGTCCTGCACCTGAATCCAGGACTGCTCTGCAGCGAAAAGTCAGCAGATTAGCAGTGGAAAGAACACCCAGATAAACCCCAAGGAGATTGGCCAATAGACTCAATACACCCATCTGAATCCATAAACTCAGAGTTAGAAGAGACCTACTTCCTCCAAGATCTGCTCAAAATAAATGCAAGCTTACATTCCACATTATCAGCCCATGTGACCAACCACAATGCCTAGAAACATGGGTTAAAGGTAGGGGTTCCAGTGTAGATACTTGTTTTTCTGAGCCTGGGTGATTACACGCCATCCCAAACTCACCTTTGATGATGACACCTCTGTCTGTGGTGAGCTTCTCCCTTCTCCAAGTTCAGGCATTGAATTGGGGCCAGATACTGAAGACCAGGTAGCATTAGAAGTGGCAGCCCAGTCCTGGGAGAGAGACGAGAAGGGGGGTGTAGGAGAGGGCAACTTCATCACACCCTCTCCCGATGTCACTGCCTCTCTTTCACTGAAGGAGCTGGAAGCCAGCTGGCTTGGGTCAGACTTTTGCATAGAGGTGCTGACCGAGCTGTACTGAGTTCTCTTAACGCCTTCTACATCTCCATTATACTTCCAAACGTCATCCATCTAAACAGGAAACATCGATTTAAACTTGGTATTATTGGATTTCTGTTTTTAAATGTGTACAGTCATATTTTAGTAAAGATTACTAAAAGCTTGGAGCACATTTTTTCATACCCGTGTAGGAGGAGGAGTTGTTTTCACAAGAGTTTATATTATAAACAAACCTCTGAAACTTGCTTTGCTCATTTACATTAGTCCAGGTCAGTAGATAGAACTCTACTCTTTTTAATTGTTGAATACTCTATAGTATGGATATCTACAATTTATTTATGTGATATGCATTCAATGTGTTCAAATTTTTCTGTAACTTCCAAAAACATTGCAACAAATACCCATATATCTTTATAATCAGAATATTTTTATAGCACAGATTTCCAAAAGTGGACTTGCTAGACCAAATGGTATTTACATATAAATTATATATAATATCTTTTAAAAATTATAGCAAAACACACCCAAAGCAATGTATAAAATGTCTGTTTTGCCTGGCCAGTGTTGCCCAATGGTTTAGCATCAACCCATGCACCAGGAGTTCACTGGTTCGATTCCCAGTCAGGACACATGCCTAGGGTTCGGACTTGATCCTCAGAGGGTGGTATGCAGGAAGTAGCAGATTGATATTGATGTTTCTCTCTCATGAATGTTTCTAACTCTCTCTTTCTTTTCCCTCTCTCCCCCGTCCCTCTTAAAATCAATAAGAATATATATATATATATATATATATATATATATATATATATATATATATATTTTAATGTCTGTTTTTCTGTATACTTGACAACACTAAACATTTTGAATCTGATGGGTGAGAAGTTGTACACCTCATGCTTGTTCTTTTTTTTTTTTTTAATATATTTTATTGATATTTTACAGAGAGGAAAGGAGAGGGATAGAGTCAGAAACATAGATGAGAGAGAATCATCGATCAACTGCCTCCTGCACACCTCCCACTGGAGATGTGCCCGCAACCCTGGTACATGCCCTTGACCATAATCGAATCTGGGACCTTTCAGTCCGCAGGCCAACACTCTCTCCACTGAGCCAAACCGATTTCGGCTCATGCTTGTTCTAATGAGGTTAAACATGCACCTGGGTCCTTTATGTTATCAACCATTTAAATCCCCTCTCTCTTGAGCTGGCTATTCATTTCTATACCCATTTTCCTACTGGTTTATTTTTTCCTACCAACCTGAAGGGCCATTTTAAACCTTAGGGATATTGACCCTATATTTATAATACATGCTACTAATATTTTTCCCAAGTCTATAAATTATCTTTTGACTATGTTAAAAGTGTCTGTCATATAAATTTAATTTTTATGTTGTCAAATATGACTATTTTACTTAAGATAATGATCAGCAGTTCTTCCTGGCTATTTATACAAGTTTCCCTCACTTCAATTTTTTTAAATTATATTTTTTCTCTTTTAGGTTTTAAAAGATTCCACATTGGCAGAGAAAAAAAGGAATTTAACTATTGACAGTATGAAATGTATTGCTTCCTTCTATATAATGAAAATTAGTAAACCCACTTTCAAGTCTGTGATACTGCTTTATTTTTAGGGCAAACGATTCCATATCTTTAAAAATACTAATAGAAATAGAAATAAATATGTAATTTTTGAACTTAAGATACATTTTAATAACTATACTCAAATATATCAAGTTCTAATGAAGTAGAAAATGATGGAAAATAAACATTTGTACATAAGAACTGAAAATATTTAAGTCAAACCATATGAAACTGATGTTTTGTAAGTCTAAAAGTACTAACATCTGGCAATTTCATATAGTTCAACCTAATACTTTACAAAAGCTATATCTGAGAAAAATCTGATGCTAAAAAATAAATTCTCTGCCTTAGAATGTAGCTTATTCATTCTTCAAAATGTATCAGTTCTATTTTCATTGAATTTAAAGCTTAATTAATTCTGTACCATTGCTACATTGTAAGCATTAAGTAGCATGAAATATCTATGAATTCTGCATTGGCTAAAATAAAAATTGCGTTATACATGGTATGTACATTGTACATATTAAATATACATAACTCAATCTTCTGCACAAGTACAGCAACAGTTTGCTCATGAGAATCGAGTATATGAACTGAGAACACGTTTTTACCGTGTAGGATCTCGGGAGCGATGAGATTCCCCTTGAGTGAGAGCCAAAAGGTCTCGGTGTGACCACAGATGTCAACCTAGCTGTATCAGTTTTCTGGTAACTTCTGGGGAGAGAAGCTGAAACTCGAGTCGACTCCATTTGTGTAGTCAGTGAACGCTGGGCAGACAAAGGGGCCGGGCGTTGTTCTTCCGTGGGGCTTTTAGAGGGAAGCTGAATTACAGCAGGTAGGGGGTCCTCTCTTTTCACCACAGTTGTAGAATCTTGTTTAGGGATTTCTGTAGGGTACGTTATTCCTTTCTCTTCTACTCTCTCCCCCTGATGACTTGCTTCTGACATTGTTAGTGTCAGGGGAAGCCTGTCTTCATTCAATGCATCATCAGAAGAATATATTCTGCTCCTCGATGTAACTGTAGACGTCTGATTTCGGGATTCCCTTAGCGAACACACCATAGCAGCAAAGTTAGGCATTTGGCATTCAAAGGTGGAGAGACAGATCTTATTTTGGTAATTAACATACAAAATGAGCTGGAAATAATGTGCGATATGATACTAACTTCACACGATGTGCAATATATTACTAACAGGATATGAGGATAAATACATGCAACTGTTTTATGCCACACTAAGAAATATTATAAGGGTTTGACTTTTCTTTTCAGAAAGGCTCTCAAATACTTCACAGGGATTTTTTTTTAAGTTGTAAAGATAAATAAGAAAATAAAATTTTAATAAGGAATCATTCACCAAATTTATCCACAAATGTATAACTCTTCCAAATTTGACACACTATAAAAATAACTGCCTGGCAACCAATTTCAACCCTTCAAAGATGTAGATTCCTTGTCAGCCCTGTATTTCCTGTACATGATTTATAATAATATAGTAAAAATAAAAGACTGCAAAAAACACAGACTTCCATTGAGATCAAGTTATTACCTAGTTTCATACAGCTTCACAGAATTTGCACGGACAGTCATTACGGATTAAAAGTCACCATTCATACGTATGGAGAAAATGATGAAACAGTCTCATCTCTAGCATTTAGTAAGGAGTGCCTCTTAAGCTGACAGTTGCATTTAAGTGAATGAAACTATATTTGCATTTGGCTTCTGGGGCATAAAGGAGCTTTGTGTAATTTCACCTGACAGCACATTTCCTTTTCGACATTATCCTTAAAGTATATTTGCCATTTCCCTGAGCTGTACCTAACCCAAGGTTTCACAGAGCAACTGCTCTAACAGGAAATTTTAATTTGACCTTTATTCAGTTATGTTGCAATGCAAAAAATAAACCCTCACAATTCATTTTTATATAGTTTTCCTTTAAAATATAATTTTAATTGTAACACTGGAATGTGGAAATAACTCTTATATTTTACACAATTTAGTTCAGTGTGGGAGCTGGTTTTACTTGACCATTCCATTACTAAATTCATTTTTAAAAGGAGGGAAAAAAATAGTCCCTTTTCTGCACCAAATATAGCCAACACCACCCACTTCTGCATATGAATAGCCAATGTAAATGAGGAAATAATATATATCTATTTAGTACTCATTTCTTTTGTCAATCCACAAAAGCCACTATTTATCATAGCAATACTTTGCTTTTTCACTGCTAAACAAAATGCTGAAAGTTTCATTGCATATTTGGTTACAGTCTAATCACCCTGTACATGCACAAAATGTCCATTTCTAACACTGGTCTCTCCAACTGGGAGATCCAGCCAGCCTATTACCTGTCCTGCAGCATTTCCTTAAATGTCTTAGAGCTTTTCTCAGATTTCTCCAGCGCCTGCTTTTCAATTTCTTCTCTCTCTTCTTTTTTCTTCTGCAAGTCTGAAGTGTAGCTTTTTCGACGGTCTTTCCATTTTGCAAGGTCCTAACAGAAGAAAATCACATCAGCACAGGCATACCTGAATGGCTACACACCCTTTCTAGCAGTGAGAGCATGCCAGCGTATCCCATTACATCGCTGAAACTATTCACTCCCACTTGATGCCAAGGTGCCCTAATTTTGCTTTTTATAGCCAGTGTTTCTGTACCAAGCCTTTATCTCATGTGTCTGCCTAAAAAACCTGACCTAATAAGATAGACCCCATTTTTGTTTCCCTGCCTCGTTGCCCATTTCACAAAGAATGCTAAATGCTTGTAATTAGGTGACAGGTCAGAAGAAGCAGGAACTGTTTCAAGTTCATTTTCATCTCACTCCAATAACCTGGCTGCTATATGAAATGACATTTCTTCACCAGTGAAACTGACAGAGAAAATGATTATAAAATGGCTAAGCGTGGATGCACACTGGGTCTTCCATTGAATGAGCCCTGAGCTAGGTCCCTGCTTGGAGGCAAAGGGTGTGTAAGCACAGATAAATCAGATGTTCTCCCCCCGCCCAAGAACTCTCAATCTGGAAGGGAAAGACGGGCATGTGAATAACAATTCAGCAATGAGTGCGATAGGATTGCAGAGAGAATAAGGGTCGAAAGGAGAGCATGGCCTACCTCAGGCAGGGGTTGCAAAGGCTTGACTGGGGAGGCCAGCCTCGAGTACTGACTTCTTCAAAGTGGATAAGCTTTACATACGGACAGGGCAATAAGGAAGATCACAGAGAACAAGGGGACACTGTTTCCCATGTTCCTAGGAAGGGAAGTCTCTCCCCACCAGGTGAACCCTGGACGATCAACCTTATTCAGCTTGACATTAGCCCTAGCAGCCTAAGCTGGTTCTGACATCCAGGGGCTTAAGGCATTTTCCAATGGTACAACCTTTTCTATGTCTCACACTCAGAGAAGTCCCATACTAAGAACTGCTAGTCATTCCGGCTCAAGTAGAAGCCTCTTCCAGTTCTCAGACTAAATGGAACCTCACCCCTGGGAAGTGCAACGTTAAGTTTGGTTTTAAACCCTCTGGAGCAGACCAAGCCTCTCCTGCTTTAAACACAGCCTGAACCCTGTAGGAACCATTTGCCCAGAAAGAACAAAAGTGTGCATTTCCTCCTACAGAATCACAAGCATGCATTTGTATCGGACCTAACCTAACTGATGACTCCTCAACACCATTTTCACACCCAGACAGTTACCATGCATGTTGGCAAAATGACATGGAATTCCTGTTTCCTGACAATTAAACTTAGTCCCCCACTCAAAGAGGCACTGGAATTTTGAAAAGTGGCCACAGCAGGGGTTTCTCCTTCATGAATTAGACCTTAATTCCTTTGAAAAAATTAAGATTTACTCTCTCTGGGCCTTTTGTTCTTGCTACCACTCAACTCTATTACCATAAAGATGTCCTCAAACATCTTTGGGTTTGCTTTGTATAGCTTATCATACTTTTATGCTCTGCTTTGGTTTATAACAATTACTCCTTTCAAAATGGGCCAAGCTCCTTTCTGTAGGAACAAAACTATGGAAGTTCTGTGAAAACTCTGATTCAGGTTACATGATTACATTTTCAACCATGTTGTTTCTTCTTAAATCTCTTCTACAAACTCTAAAAAACAGTTCATTTCTCCACGCTGATGCCCAGGTTCTGCCGAGGCCCTGCCCCTCCAATTCCCAGACATGGAGCAAAGCCTTTTCCTTTCACCAGATCAGTAAGGGTCCCACCCTGATTCAATTAGCAGCATAGCCAGGAAGGAGCTTCTCACATAGGCAAATCCAGAGAACATTAAGATCAACAGCCTATTGTGTTTTGCACAATTTGGCCTTTCAAATATACAACAGTCATGGACCAAGAAGGTTTAAAAATCTTAAAGGAAGTTGATCACATTTTCTACAAACCTGAGTTCTCTAATAGCAAGGAAAATCACCTCTTGAGTACACGAACTTTCTTTGCAGGGAAGCAAAGAAAAGCCAAACACACACACACACACACACACACACACACACACACACACACACGCTTGCCTGGTCTTCCCCTCTCCCACCCAGTACAAGGCATACTCACATCCTGCCATTTCTGATCCTGCTCTTTTAGCTGGGATTTCATTTTCTGCATCTCCTCGTAACGCAGCTGACGCAGGTTCTGAACATCCTCGGCGCTGACATCGCTCATGGACTTGCTCCTATAACAGAAACACCCAGGGTAACTGAGGTTCACATGACTGGACGTAGAGTTAAAACTGGGAGGCTGGGCTTATACTTGGAAATTCCATCTAAATTTCTGCCGTACTACCTAGATGTTTTAGAGATAATGTCACAGAAATAGCACTACAGAGATAAATGGTGTTTTTCCAAAACGCAGAAACAAGAGCCTTGCATGCAACTCAGGTGTGAATTCTTTCACAAGATGGCTAAGTGAAACCTCCTATGTCTGAAAAGAAAAAAAAATCCAATGCTCATATGTAGAGTAGTCTCTGAATAAAAGAATTGTTTCAGAAAAAAAATTATTATTATTAGTCACTAGAATCATTTGTCTTTATTTTTCTATCTCTCCCCAAGATAATCTTTTCAGGTTTGGCTGACTTTTCTGGACACTTATTAAATAATTTAATGATTACCTGATATTTTCTCCTCAAGTTCAATAGCATGAATAAATGTGCTGCTGCTTTTTTGCAAAGATTCTATACCACCCACTCAACACTGCATTAGACTTGTTCTCAAAGCACCACAGGTAGCTTCTAATACCCAGTTATAATATAGCCTCCTTATCTTTCTTTTTATTAAGGCAGCTCTCAATGTCATCTATAGGTGCCCCTGCCATGAGGATATACTGAGAGTTAGCTCTCACAGAGCTCAATCAAGAGTAGAAACTAATGAACAAAGTTGGGTGACAGACATAAGGCACATATGTGCTACATACATGCACCCATAAAAAGTTGGGGTAAACTGCCCCAGAGAAGGTGAAACTATGGGGGAGTGAGGGAAGAGTGGAATCAAGTCTAATATTGATGAGCAGGTAAGAATGAGTGAAGAGAGAGAGAGATATAAAGAGACAGAGCTTTTGAAGGTGGAGTGCCCAAAATGCTCTCTAATACAAATCTTTCATAAGGCACTTCTAATTTTATTTCATTGTAGGTGACTCCATCTTTAGTTGCTTAAGTAACACAACACTTCCTTCTTGGGCCCCTAAACTTTGCCTTTCCCTAGATCTTGCCATCACACATTACTAAACTCAGGAATTCAATTATAATCTATGCAAATGGCTCCCAAATCCACAGATAAGGACCAGTCCCCTCCTTACACTCAATTGTAATTGCTCATTAGATAAACATCTCTGCATGGACATCCCCTAACCATCTAAATTGTAAGAGGATCAAATGAAATAATATCAAAAAGGATTCTGCAAACAATAATTCACTTTGGTTATTGGTTATTAAAATACATGGTTATTATTAATGTAGCCAAACTTAATTCTGTCCTCCACTCTGTTTTTCCTCCTATAGCTGTTAGTAGTGTTACCTGCTCTCCAATCGTCCACATCTGAAACCAAAGAACCATTTTTCACCTTTGCCTCTCCCTTCTCCCTACGTTCAATTAGTTATCAAGTCCTCTTACTCAGTGTCTTTTTCTTTCCATTTCTATTGCCAACACCCTAGATCAGAGTACAGTCAACTCTTAACTAGACTTTTTTTAAAGCTTCTTCAATTATCACCCAGTCTCCAGACCCAATGATGGTCCTGAACTGCTCCCTCCACTCAAAACCCCTTCCCAGTATCTATGCCTTTTCAAATGCCCTTCAGTCCTCAGAAACCCTGCTAAGCTCCGGATGGGTGTAATCAATGATCATTTGGAAGTCTAATGTCACTCAAACTTGTCACAGACCACACCTATGATTGCTCATTCTACTACCTGCTCAAAACCCATCATTATCATCCCAATAAAAGTCAGCACAATGTTCACTTCTCTCTTTCTCTCATACATGGTAGCTGATCTCCTTAGTAAAACCTGTCACTCTACCTTCTAACTGTATCTAAGATACAACCACTCCTCATCACCTCCACCTCTACCACCTTGCTCCAGGCTATCATGTTTCCTGTGGTATTATCACAATAATCTGTCTCCCTACTTCTACCTCTTCCTGCCCAACAGTGTATTCTCAATATAGCAGACAGAGGAGTCTTCAAAATTGCACTCAGATCTTGTGTCTACTCACCACCCCAGATCCTTCCCATCTCACTCGAGTTAAAAACAGATCCTACCAAGAATTACAAGGTCCAACCATGACCTGGTCCCCACCTACATCTCTGCACTCATCTCCTCCACTCACTCGGCTACTGCCAACTGGTTTCCTTGTTCGTGCTCACATATAAGCTCTTCGTGCCTTACCTCTCACTCCCAGTCACCTGCTTAAATGTTACCTCAGTGTTTCCTTCCCTGACCACCTTGCAAAAATAGCAAATATCCCTCTCCCCTGGCCCACCTTTCTCCCTAGCAAATATTGCCATCTGAAATGTACGCTTAGTCGACACCACCTGCCTTGTCCTATAAGATTACAAAGCAGGAGTTTTGTCCGGTTTGTTTATGGCTATATCACCTGTGCCTCCAAGAGAGCCCAGCCCATGCATGTAATCATAAATGTATTAATGATCTAGGAATTATTCTGCTACTTTAATAAAGTCTCCCTAGCTCCTCCATGCTGAAGATGGTCTGCCTGTCCCTTCTCCCAACTTCTCTAGGGCTTTAGTTCTACTGTTCTTCACAATCAGCATATTGTGTACATAGTGTATACACAAGCGTGCATGTCCGGCTTAGCTCCCTCACAAGTGCACATGTTGCCTGGGAGGAAAGCATAGCACAAGGCATGCAGGATACATGCATTTAACATCCGTGGTAAGAATGAGGAATGTTCCACCACATTTAATTCAAGCAAAATAAACTTGAAATGTTTTTAATATTCCGTAAGAATGTATAAGTCCTTCCCAAAGTTTTATAAAGAAAGCTTTATAGGATTTATTAAGGAATACTAAAAAATTATATATAGGAAATATATGAATTTATATATGAAATTATATATTGCTCTATGAATGTAATATTACTTAACTAGGTGTGACTATATAAAAACTGATTTGTATAAATTTGAGGATATAAATTTACTGAACTTATAAACTGCAAAGAATTAGACTATTTCAGCTAATACTATAACAGACTCACCAAAAAGAGGCAAGGAAAAATGTTCAAGATCAAGACATGAAGGGAATCTGGATACTTAAAACATGAGATTGTGAGAATTTCACAACAAAAATGGAAATGCAAATATGACAGTAATATTATGGTGGGGGGAAGGCTGGCTGGTGTCAATTGGCCCAGACTTCTACACTGATGCTCTGTGAGACCTCCCCGTCTACACTGCAGAATCTGAACTTGTGTCTTTTCAAAAAACATACCATCATGGGCAGAGCAGCATCCCAAAAGTCCCCGCACTGAGCCTGGCACACAGGCGGTGCCCAACGTGAACAAAGTGAGCCAAACAGGATCAGGAGCTGACAAGCCCCTGCACAGGGCAGGAATGTGAGCTCCTTCTGTTCCCTCGGGTGCATAAAGTTTCCTACAGAAGCTTGAGCTCTTTCCATACAGGCTGAGCCAGGCACTGGAATGAGACAGGAGGTGGGGGCTCCATGCCTGACTATGGCACCAATTTTCACCCCAACCTAACATCGTTTCACTTCTCTGAGCCTCTGTTCCCCATTCAAGAAAGGGATTGTTATGAGACGTGGGGAGGTTATGTGGACTGCATAGCAACAGCCATCTCGTGCTGTACACCAACTCTTCTTAGTAAGGCAAATGTAACTGTGTGGGATCTTCTGAAAACTAACTCCCAAAGCAGTTTCAAATAAGAGAGGTCATCCCAGGCCACGCTGATAAAATCTAGAACTTTTGGAGTGCGGGAGTGTTCTAGCCAGATCATGAAGAATTCTTTCTGTCCTTATCAGAGTTGACAGCATAATAAACTTCTGAGGGCTTACTGTGAGCCAAGCAGCCTACCGGGATTATCTCATTAGACAAAACTTCAGTCCGGTTCTACCACTCACTAGCTGGACGATATTGGGAAAGCTGCAGTATCTGCTTCCCTTTCCCCATGTTTCTAAAATGCATATAATATCCATCTGTCTACCTTACAGAAATGAGATGAGCACCAGAGATAGTCTCAGGAAAAATGTTTGGGGAAACTATGAAAGACTGCACACTCTAATATTCACAATCCAATCCTTACAATTCATTTATCTGCCACCCTTAAAGTTGGAGAGGCTTCCATTTAGATCAGCTTTGGATTTTTTACAAAAATAAAAATACAGGTCTAATATGTTGCATTTTTAGCTGAATCGACTCTTTAAAGAGTAGTTGGGGTAGAGAGAGAAAGAAGGGGATAGTTAAAGAAGAAAAAGGTATAGATTATAAAACAGTCTTACTAGAATCTTACTCTCTTCTCCCATGATACTGATCAACTGCTACTCTCTTGGCACTTTTTGACTAGTTTTATGATGCATATTATTTTAGAACTCAATTTCATAAAACTTATAGATGAATATCTAAGGAGTAAAGGATCAAAAAGGACCAGTGTGTAGCAAAATTTCCTTATTATAAAAATCATTGATAGCCTCATGGGAAAAATAGAAATTCTATGATATTAAGAGGAAGATATAAATATACTTATTAATGCATCTATAAATACATGGGGGTGAAAGTAGGTCTGCAGTTGTGAGTATATGAAGCTTTATGCTTGTACTATTATTGAATAATTATTGTATTATTTTCCATATTTTCCAACTATACACCTACTTTTGCCCTACTCTCTACTAGTATACCTCCAATAGGTGTTGCAGGAATTCACTAAACTAAAGGATAATCAATACTAAAACCAGGGTAAGAGGCTTTAGAGCTGCCATAAAATAGATTGATAAACAATATAAAGGAAACTTTTCATTTATAGGTTGATAGTCTAAAGTCAGGGTTTCTCCACAGTAGTACTATTAACATTTTGTGGCCAGAAAATTATCTGTGGTTGGGGGCTATCCTGCTTACCCAAGGGCATTTAGCAGCATCCCTGCTGTAAAGGAACTAGATGCCAGTAGCAATGCCAGTCCCCCCACAAAAAAATAGCTCACCCAGTATGACAAAGAGTCTGCAGATATTGTAAAATATTTCCTGGCAGCCTAATCCTCATAAAGTAACTCACATCAACATTATTTTTCCTTTCTTTTTCTTGTCTTGGCAATAAAAAGATAATTGGCAGCAGATTCAATGGCTTAATCATATTGCAAAATTATTACTGTACACCCTTACATATTTGTCCTTGAGCATCCACCAAGACCATAAGGAGTAAGTCCATGCAACACAAAAGCACACATGTGAGAAATGACTGCCACATACAAAGCATCTTACTAAAAATACACAAGTGACAAGTGTTAAACACCAATTAAAAAGCAAGCCAAAAATTAACAACCTAAGATTTCAAAATTTAATACACATTTCTCTTTAACCTGGTCCTTACAAAAAAAAAAAAAAAAGCACTCATTATTTTTCAACCATAGGATGTTGAACAATAATGATTTTCCAGATAACATACATTATGTCCAGAGAAATATCACCCAGAAATATCAGTTGTTTTATGCTTATAAACACTTATGGACATCTTTATAAACATGAAATGAGTTCCATATTAAAAGCCTATATTCAATCCAATTTTTTTGTTTTTATTACAGATCAATTAAAAATTATATATCAGTAACTGATAGAATATAGGGAGAAAAATACCATATAATAGATTTTTTTTATTGCAAGTGGCTTAAAATGCAATTGAGTTTTGTGAGAACATATTTGTGTTACTTTCCATTATTTGACAAGGCAAACATTATTCATCAGTCTCAACTTACAATTTTTCTTTATTCGTGTTGTTACCTTGCCACTAAATTGCCTTTATAACAAACACTACACTAGGCAAACAACAGTCTTGAAATAATCTACAGGCAGCATTTGCTCCTGCTAGTGACAGCCCATAAAAAGCCTTTGCTTTCTGAGCCTTGGCATTTGGGTTTCTCTATTTTCTTAACCCAGTTATACCAATGTAACATATCCCTAAAGAGGAACATGTACAGTCTTTGAAATAGCTGTACCTGTTTCCATCCCTTACATGACTTGTACTCATGGCACTTGTAACCACTTGAAGAAAAACAACCTATTTACATTATAAAATCTTATTTACCAATGAAAATGCTTCTGAAAATTATCATTCAAAATGCTAGAAGCTGCAAAGAGGTTGTTCATCAAGTTAAAACAGCTTTGCCTTGATGAATCAAGATGAGCAGATGCTTAAGCATCATGTTGAAGTGGCCTGTTCATCCTCACTGATGAGGAGGCTCTAACACCTGAGGAGCAGGGGAGGGAACAACGTGTCCTCGCATGGCATATGCAAAGCAGGCTGGGAGCCTGATTTTTAAAATCATCAACTGAGAAGTACTTACAATGATGTGCCTGTGCTTCAGTGACACCTTTGACATCCATAATGGTTATATTGCTATAAATAGCAATTTTAGCAACTTTCAAGACCTCTACACTATCAAACCATCAAAACTAGAGAATCTTCTAGATGAATTAAATTTTAGAGATGAATTAAGTAGGGAAAGATACTTTGCTATTCAGTCTTAGGCCTTAAATTTAAGACATTTGATTAGAGATCGGTTAAAATATTTAAGTTTTCTTCTTGCGCAAAAATGTTAACAGTTAGACTCACAACATCAAAGAAGTTTAATGAAAAATATTTATTTATATGTAGCCACTGGTTATTTTTCACTAAGAATAAATGATACTATACAGTTAGTATGTAGTAAAAAGTAAAAGTAGTATTTACTTTTAACTCTATTATTCTGGAAATGGAAAATATTTCCAGAAAGTTATTTTTATAATATTTATGTCTATCAGGAAACTAAAATTAAAAAAAAGACAAAAATTAAGAATTAGTTATAAATAATACTGGAAACTACCAAGTTTTTAATTTTTGTAAGTTTTGGAAGGCTAATTTGACTCTATAACACCAAACATTTCCAAATCCTACTAAGGGAAGATTAATGACATTCACCATCCAAACTAAGAAAGCCCATATAGGTAGGAGTATATAGGCAATGCCCACTGCATGTATTCCAACCTGAAAGTAAATGCTAATTTCCTCTTTCCAACACAGGTTTTCTAAAATGCAGCTATGCAGTCTTCCACATGCAGAAAGGAGAACTTGGGTCTATATAATAATCAAATACCAAAATAAATATACCTAATCCCAGGTAAGTGCTTTTGTTACTTTTAATCAAAAAAAAAAAACAAAAAAAAAAAAAAAAACCAACAACAAAAAAACCTCTGAATTTTGAACTGATAAAGCAATTCTATTGTTGTGATATAGCAGTTCATGCACTGAGCACTCAGACACACTACCATTAGGTTGCTAAATTAAGAAAAATACCCCATTTTAAAATCTCATGCATAGCACACAGCATCCACGTTTAGTAACATGCCAGGATAGCAGTGCAATGACACATTACACAAAGGACAAACAATGTGCAGAGATTTCTTTTTTGCCCCAAACCATGACACTTACCCATTTTCACCATAAATCTTTTGAAAGAGTCTAAGAAATCAGAAAACCAAAAATTAAAAGTCATTTCTTCCAGTATGATATTTTTTTTAAATGTTTGGCATTTTTAACTTTAAGTGTCTAACAAGAGATGGACAAATCTCAAAAGGTTGCTTTTCCAGTCACGTGCTTGATCATGTCTCAAATTCTCATTGATCTCATATCTCAAGGAATTCACATTAAGCAAGATCAAGAGTTTTCAGATTTAGCTTAAACTGACAAATCCAAAACAAAAAGCTTTATTAGTTGCCAGGAACTAATAAAAAAGTTAGATTTGCATCTACTCAGTTTATTCAACCTAATCACATTTGCCCATCCCAAAGTTCAACAAACTGACCATTCATCAAACATCAAGTGTTCATTACTCTAAAAATGGCCATAATTGCATACATGTAAAATTCAGCAGACAGCAAATAACATTCATGCATTTTAATCAAGTTTGCACTAAACTTTGAAAATATAAATTTAGAAATTCACACACTTAATAGTCCAAGAAACCTAGGTCAAAAACAAAAATCAAAATCAGGTTAAATGAAACTTGCAATGCCATATTTTAAGGGAAATTCTTACACAAAAATCATATACTCCAAAAGGAGAAACACATAAAACCAAACTACAACCGGACTGTTTCAGAAACGCCTGGACATAATAAAAGTCTGTAAATGTGATCAGAAAACATTTTCATGAAACACCGTGCTGCAGAATACTACCACAGTCTCTACTTAAGGCCAAAGGCAGTGACTGTGTACACACTTTCTGAAATGGGCCTCGCATAGGCGATTCGGTGATATGCAAATATGGAATGGCACTTTTTCCATGAAACGTGCAAAGGTTTCTCAAAGCAAAATAAATGTCTAGAGGATGCTTCACAATGGCTCGAGACATGCAGTCGGGCAACACGATGCCACTTTCTCACACAAGAAAAGGAACACAAGACCATCCATTCAGTACAGGCAAAGTCCTTGCAGAAACACACTCTGACCTCTCAACCATCAGCCGCTTCCTGTGCCTAAGCCTGCTGGCCTCCCGGATGGCCTCCCACTTCCGAAAGTCCGCCTCACTGCAGGGACCGGGGATGAAACTGATGGGAGGCACAGAAGTTCCTAGCTTCCAGTGCTGGATCTTCCGGGTCAACATGTCATCTGTCTTCTGCCGACACGAAGGAACTAGTACTCTACAGCTACTACTTTTCTCCTTGGCTGGGTATGTCCTTTCAAGTACGCAGAGGAACTTGGCTTGAATTTCTGGAGGAAGAGTCCAGGGCTCGGGGAAAGGGATTGGTTGGTATCTATCTGGGGCCCCAGATAGAGGCACCTCTTTCTTCTGCGCTGGGATCCGCCGGACAATCATATCATCTTTCTCTAGATCTGGAAGTATGAGCTCGCCTTCTCTGCACTGCAGAATTATATCTCTCTCTACCGGATCATCTCGGTCAGAAAACCTTCTGAAGTCTTCGAAAGCTCGGAGGACACATGGATTGGCATGGAAAGCCCCAGTCCTTCTGACAAAGAAATCATCATTCTCTAAGTCGGGATCTAAGGCTGACATCTCAAGGTCGCCTCTTCTATACCCTGGGGCATAAGAGAGATGCCTCCTGCGAGTTATGAGCCTTGGGCCAGCAGTGGGATCAAGTTTGATATTTGTTTCAGAAGATAAGATGTCCTCAGAATATGTTTGGAGGGCCTGAAGTAATAAAAACGGACTGAAGCACAGAAAAGAAAAAGGAAGGGAGAATCTTATTAAGTGTATTAAGGAGAACAGGCAATTAGGTAGCAGACCAACTAGCCATTATTGTTTAATTATAGGGGGCATGGGAAGGGCTCTTGTGTGGAAGAAAGACGAGCACTGAATGCCATCACCTGTGACTTTCCTGGGTAAGTCACAGGTGATGGCATTAGATACAGCTCAGGAAAGGTGGGCACCAGGCCAGCCAAGTGACAGGGCTCGAGTTGGGTAGAGTACATCTCCCTGAGATACAATGCAACTCTTGCTGTCACCTCTGCCTCACTCCATGAGCCACAATGACCTCATTCTCATCCCAGAGATGCAGGAATGATCTTGAAAAAGTTTTAGAGTTGGTCATGGAGCACTGTATGCAATAGGCACCGGGAGGAAGCAGACATTTAAAAACTAAAATGCTCTGAAGCTGAACAAAGGGCCCTGGTGATTCCTCTCTTTGCATTTTCCCACCAGACTTTCCTGTCCACCTGTCCATCTGGAAGTTATTTCCTTTATATCTCCATGCATAGCACAACTGTAAGACTACGTTCACTTTTCTTTTTTCCATTTTTTAAACATATTTTTATTGATTTCAGAGAGGAAGGGATAGGGAGGGATAGAAACATCAATGATGAGAGAGAATGATTGATTGGCTGCCTTCTGCATGCCCCTTACTTGGGATCAGGCCTGCAATCCCGGCATGTGCCATTGGCCGGAATCAAACCTGGGACCCTTCAGTCTGCAGTCAGATGCTCCATCCACTGAGCCGAACCAGCTAGGGTGGTCCACTTTTCCAAAGGCCTTTTAGAAATGTTTTTCCAAAAGAACGTACTATGCCACATATTTATACTATTTTATACATGACTCTGCTAAAGAATATTTAATCCTATAGACTTCCAAGCTTACATGCCTGCACAGAAAGCAATATGCTATACATAATGCTTTTACACTAAATATTAAGTGAGTACAGTTTCATGATTCAACAAATCACGGTCAGAGGTTAATGGTGCAGCAGAAGCCGGCTGGGTGTTGCATGCCAGACTCCAAGCAAGAAGGCTCATGCAGGCAGGTACACCTGGGCTGCTCCAAAGCACCACTGGCTCTCCTGACTGCTTGGGTGTCCCGTGTGCTCCTGGCTACTTCCATCAGGAGTGAACGTCTTTGGCAGGTGCCGTCTAGCCTACGCTCTGCTCTCTGCATCCAACTAAAAATGTCAGAGCTTCTGTCAGAGCCTGAATCCTCATCCTCAAAGTCTGGGATCCTTCTACTGTGGAAGGAGGCAGAGACAGGAAAGAGAGAGGGAAGAAGACAAAGAATTGGAGAAAAAATATAGCTAAATAATGTCAAGCTATGACTATGGTTAGAGGAGGACATGTTCGGATCCAGATCCCAACGTTTACATTTAAATGACCTCCCCCCCTCCCCCCCAAGTTATAGATGTTCTATAGATGTTGGAAGGAAATCAGTCTCTTTCGTGAAAAGCACACACAGAATGCACCCAGCCAGGGCACTGAAGGAACACCAGACTGACAGAAACAGGCAGGAAGACAAACCTGAATCCCTGAAATTCTTTATACCAGGGTTTATAAGTTTCCCTTTTTATTCTTTTCCAGTTCACATCTTCTGGGATCCAACATTTGGGAAGAAACTGATCGAAAGTGTTCCCTGGGTTTGGCATGATGGGGCTTAGCTTTCGCACATAAAGGTCATCCTTTACAGTGTCTGGGGTGCTGGTCCTCTCTTCCTCCTCCTCCAAGTAACAGAAGGAGTTTGAAGTTTCTTGTACTGCTGTCCAGCTCTCCACACTTGTGCCCCAAGTTCTCCTCTCGTTACTGTTCAAAACATCCAACCAATTAAGATACTGCATGGTCAACGGGTGACAGAGAACACAAAAGGCATGCGTCCTGGCTCACAAAGTCTATCCCACTGTGAATGAAGCAAAATTAGTTTCCCTACTCTTCATGAACGCCCCTAGGACAAAGACACGGCAGCATCCCAGCACCTCATTTTAATTAGAGAATAGCCTGATACACGAGAGCCGAAGATAATAATCGGTGCTACAAAGAGACAATTGGCCAACAGTTTGGGGGGGGGGGGGTGTTTACTTTATGTAATGCAATCAATAGGATAGACATTTGGCCCCAGGAGTAATTTTTCTGATCCCGTCAGTGCGCATAGCCTGGTGGGTGGCTACGGGGTCAGCAGGAGAAAATAATGGTGAACAAGAGTTAGGAGGGAGAGGTTTTGAGATGAAACTCTCTGGCCTCTTTTTCACTTGGAATCTAAGGTTGGCTAAGTCATCCAAACCACAGGAAGGCAACCTTTGCTCATCCTCGGCATCCGAGCCACTTTCAGGACCACATGCCTCCTTCTGATAGGAAGCTGGATTTGAAAAGTCACACTCTGCTCTGCTAACCTGATGAGAAATCAACCTTGGGGGGGGGGGGGGGGGGGATATGGGGAGAGGGCAGCTGCACAGCTGAGCTCCCAAGGAATAATGTAAGTCACCTTGTAAGCTGCAAGATACCAACAATGCTAAAGGCAGGCATCTAAAAAATAAAACCAGCAAATCATATGCTGACATTTTTAAATGGAAGAAATATCTTCAAGATACGAGTGACTAAAAATACGGGGGGGGGGGGGGGGGGGGTGGAGGAAATTTTCATTAATGAAGTGTAAAATATTATCTATGAAATACAGGTTAAGGACCATTCCTTTTACCACATTTCAATATCCCAGCACATTTGCAAACACAGGACATTTTAAAGCTCAACCACCAGATCACATCCCAGTACCTTGGAAACGTCCCATCGGCTTCTGAGCCCACCGGGCTGGCCCAGCTCCTTCTGTTATCCTCATTCCGGTCCGGCTTCTTCTTCCTCAAGGGCGCCGGCACATAGGACGGCTGTCTGCTCTTGTTGGGTAAGAAACGATTGAACGGTAGAGCAGATTTTGGTTCAATGGCCGAAATCCTCCGATAGGACATATCATCTTTATTATATTCCTGCATTTTGAAGGTAAATTCAGAATCTGTGTCGCTTTCGCAACCTGTAAAAATAAAAAGGCACCGGAACGGGCTTTACTCTCCAGATTACTCGTCTCACTGAAACCCACACAGCATGCCTGCTTCGTCTTTCCCTACTGCTAACTGCGGGAAATATTTTTAGAAATTGGTCATGAAGTTGCGATAAGATCCATTAGGAGGGACTTGCTTTGCATACTGGAGGCGCCTGCGGTACATTCTTTCACTGTTGTACATTCTCCGCAGAAAAAGTCCCAAATTACAGCTGAAACTCTTTCTTCTTGACTTTCCTTGCACATATAATTTTCTCATCAAATCTGTTGACAGAATACATGTCAATAAAACCTAATAATACATCTCCATAAAACACTTAAAATGAGATGTAAAAATAATTCTTGAGAGACAGTAATTTAAAATAAAGCATGCAACCATCTAAAATTTCTGTGAAGTAAGAAGTAAGGGAGGACACAGAGAAAGAAATAGAAAGCACAAAAGACCAAAAGACCTTAAAGGTGGTCAGCAGACCATTCTGAGACCCCCTATAAGCAAGAACCACACGTTTGGTGTGAGACAAGACCGAATGTCTTGTAACATCCCATAGGAATGTCAAGTCTCATGCGTTACTGAGAACACAGAAGCCAGGCTTTTGTAAGGGTGGCCACGGGAATTACATTTTTGGTACAAAGTCAGTGAAACATAAATTCAAAAGACTACACGTCAAAGTCAGATCATTACAAATACAAACCACTCTTTTAAAACTAACTAAATAGGTGTGCGCTTTTAAAGATGGGAGAAGAGGTACAGAACACTGTTACAAATTCAGGCCAAACTGTCGCCCTCTCCTGCCCTTTTGTCCTTCCTGCCTCTGCAGATTCCTAAAGAAAGTTCGCTAATGTGGTTTGCTTCCCACCTGGCCTCTCTGAGGCGCACTCCCTGAGCACTGCACGTATGCAGCATACAGAGCAGAGCTCCTGCCGGGCTAACCTGAGCTGAAGATGGTCTTCTCTCCTCCCTCCAGCCTGGCAGGGGTCTACAGTAAATAACAGGGAGACTGGCCACAGGAAGTGGCTTAACACACAGCTATATAAGCAGGAAACCTGAACAGGGCGAAGGAGAGGCAGCACAATGGGAGACATTTAACCAGCTCTCACCAGGAGGATTTATGGTCAATCATCTGGTGCTTCGCTTGTTTTTACCATCTCCTACATAAACAGTACATTTTTTGGAAATGAGAGAAATGTCTTAATACTTCCCAAAATTTGTACATGTAAAAATCTTAAATACACAAAGAAATTGTTCTACTCAGGAGTATTTTCCCCATCTTTATTGAGATGCAATTGACATACAATAGTGTATATGTTTTTATTTTAATATATTTTTATTTATTTCAGAGAAAGAGAGAGAGAGAGAGAGAGAGAGAGAGAGAGAGAGAGAGAGAGAGAGAAACACATTACTGATGAGAGAGAATCATCAATTGGCTGCCTCCTTCACGTGCCCCCCACACCCCCCACAATTTGGAAATGTGCCCTGACTGGGGAATGCACCATGACCTCCTGGTTCATAGGTCAATACTCAACCACTGAGCCATGCTGGCCGGTCAATAGTGTATGTGTTAAAAGTATACAAATTTTATTTAAATATATTATAAAAATAGTTACAACAATAAGTTTAGTTAATGATGGATAGTTTAGTTATCCATCATTCTTATACAGATACAAAAAAAAAGACCAAAAATAATTCTTGTGATGAGAACTCTTAGGATCTACTTTCTTTTTTCTTTTTTTTTTCTTTTTTAATATATTTTTATTAATTTCAGAAAGAAATGGAGAGGGAGAGAGAGATAGAAACATCAATGATGAGAGAAAATCATTGATTGGCTGCCTCCTGCACCCCTACTGGGGATCAAGCCTACAACCCGGGCATGTGCCCTTGACCAGAATCGAAACCTGGAAGGAACCCTTCAGCCCACAGGCCGGTGCTCTATCCACTGAGCCTAACTGGCTAGGGCAGGATCTACTTTCTTAACAACTTTCGTGTATATAATACAACAGTGTTAATTACCTATAGTCATCATGTTCATTTATGAATTCTTAAAGTTTTTTTTTTTTTAGTCTAGTACAATGCTCTCTAGAGTAGGCAAATATTCTTGATATAGGAAGTTTCATATAAACCTAAGGAATTTAACCTTGCAATTCTGTTCATCTAAAAACTTTATCCTAAGTTATGATAATCATCAATTTTGGACTATAACCTGTTGGGTAGCATAATTTTAATATAGTAATCATTAAAAAAGTTTATCATCCTGGTGATCCTCAAGCTTTTTTATTACCCACTAGTTATAATTAATTACCAAGTCTTCATTTCCACACTCTTTAACAAGGTAACTCCTTTTCCGAGATCAGAAAACTGTCACAGTGGCCCTCCGCTCTTGGTCGCATGGACAGGCACCAGTCCCATGAGAATCGGAGGAGACTTGGATTCCACACCACAGGACCACTGCATCTGAACTGTCTCAAGTCTGCATATTCCCACAGTGCCTCAATCTTCCTCTCTTCCATTGTTTGCTGGCCAGGTATAAATTTAAACTTCAAATGTTTTCGCTTCTTTGGTCAGGACAGAATAATAGAATGAGCTCAGAATTTCAGCCTGTTTTTACAGCTTTAATTACTTAGATAAATTATAAATCAGATTCATTTCTTTAAAACTATTATAATACTCATCTAGACTATAAAAGTGTCACACCTACATAGCAAACAGCCAACAACTGCAGCAGTAAATATAAAGGTTAACTCCCTGGCCATTTATATTTTTTACTGTTAGCTTTTAAATGCCACTTTTTTGTGACCATGCTTAATACTTTGCTGATTTTTATTTTTGAAAGACAAATTTATTGTACTTTTCATTTATGTAAATTTATCTAAGAACAACAAATAAAGATTGAACTCTAGTTAATGACCTGCATGCTAACGTATTTCGAACAAGTGTCATATGCTCTGAAATGGCTCCAAAAAATAAGAAGGATAAATTAATGCAGGGAGAGGCGGGATAGGTTTGTGATGAAGCAGATATAATAAAATGTTTTGGTAGAATTAGGTAGTGGGTACATGGGGTGTTCACTGGAAAATTCTTCCAAACTTTAATGATGTTTGAAATTTTTTATAATAAAAATGTTATAGAAGTCACTTCATAATAAAATAATAAAAATGAACAAGTAAAATTCCTAACAATCTAGTACAAACTCTCAACCAGAACTCTCAATTTTTTTTCACATTAACGGTAGAAGCACAGAAATATTTGAAGCAACTTTACTCATGGTTCCAATCTAGCCCAATTTGAATTGTTAGAGGTGTACATTTAGAAGTTTATCAGACCACCAACATCCATAGGAGTAAGAGTTGCATTTAATTAACTGATCTGACCAGGACACTGACATTTTGAAAAGAGCTTCCTTCCCAAAACAGATGACTTTCATTAACATGTTCCTTTCACGCTTACACTGTCCTGGATTGGCTCTGACCCTTACAAATCAAAGGATATTTTCTAACACCATGCTTATATTGTTACTTAATCAAAGTTTAGTATAATGTTATATCATGATAGCTATCGATCCTTTCTTCTCTTAGAGATCATTAAAAAGATGTTTTTCTTGTTCTTTTTCTTAAAAATTTTTTTAAAATATTTTGGGGGGGAAAGTAAGAAAAGGAAAGAAAGAAATTAACTCAGGAATTAGAATAAATTTTTTAGAATCTTTTTTATGTTTAAGTATACCAGTCAATAGGCCTCATAGGCACAGATTAACCCTGAATCTGAAAAGAAAATAATCAAAATACATTATCACTGATAAAACAGATCATAGTTAACTGTCTCCTCTTGTCTTCTCTGAAAATGGGAAGAAGGAAAAAGTGAAACCAATACCCCTCTAGTGGTGATACAGAGAGGAAGGAAAAAAAATTTTTTTTTCAATTACACTTCAGCCCAACCGGTGTGGCTCAGTGGTTGAACATCAGTCCATTAACCAGGAGGTTGTGGTTCAATTCCCAGTTAGGGCACATGCCCAGGTTGCAGGCTCGATCCCCAGTGTGGGGCATGCAGTAGGCAGCCAATCAATGATTCTCATCATTGATTCTCTCTCTCTCTCTCTCTCTCTCTCTCTCTCTCTCTCTCTCTCTCTCTCTCTCTCTCTCTCTTTCCTTCCCTCTCTTCCTCCCTCCCTCCCTCCCTCCCTTCCTCTCTAAAAAATCAATAAAAATATTTAAAAAATAAAAAATAACAATTTAGTCTCTATTTTCTTGGTGAAATTTTTGCCTCGATAGTTTTCATCTCATTTTTCTCCTCATTCCCAATTTCTTCTTAATATGCAAACAAATAAAAATAAACTGCCAGCCAAAAATGCAACTCATCTTACCTAGCAGGTTTGGCTCAGTGGATAGAGCATTATTGGCCTATGGACCAAAGGGTCCCTGGATTTGATACTGGTCAGGATGTGTACCTTGGTTGCAGGCTCCTCCCCAGCCTGGGCCTTGGTTGTAGCTCATGCAGGAGGCAACTAATCTATGTGTTTCTGTCACATGGATCTTTTTCTCTGTCTTTCCCTCTCCCTTCCACTCTCCCTAAAAATCAATGGAAAAATATCCTCGGGTAAGGATTAACAAAAAATAAATAAAAAATGCAACTCACCTTCACGCCCACCCCTCAGCGTGATATCAGAGGAGCAGCTTGTGAAGGACCTAGAGCCCAGAGAGTCCAAGCTTTCAAACGAATCTTCTCTCCTATGGCTGCCTGGGGGCACAGGGAACTCTCCCCGGTCAGCACACCAGATATCTCCGTACCCACTGTCCCTGCCACTTCGTTTCAGACAGCTGGAGTCTTCAAGTGCCTAAAAAGAATATTTTAGAGAATAAATTAGCATAAAATCCCAAACTGCAGTCAGTCATTACTTGTTTGTTTGCATAACTCAAGTTGTGCTTCATTTGATAGGGGAGGCAACCTATTAATCATAAAAATCTGATTTAAAAAAATCAGAAGATAAATCTGCTTTCCCACAATAGTTGGTCCTCATGTAACACCAAAGAGATATTCATTATTATTTAATAAAGTAGTACAATCTATATAAAAGTAAGGAAGGGAAGACATTTTAATACGAAAAGTTACTAACTAAATTTACTAAAACCAATTATTATCTAGAGTTATCTGGCAATAAATATGAATGGAGTTAAAGAGAAAAATCAACCTGGACTTTGATATCCAAAAAAAGATAAACTAATTAATTATAACCATCCTACATTCAGCAAATAGTTGAGGAGATATATATTAAACAAAAAAAGTACTTGAATTTTTTAACAAAAAGTTTAAAACAGACAGGAGCAAGTACAGCAGGTATACATGTCACAGAATTTATCTATTTTCATTGATTATGAAACCTAAATCTGAACCAAGAAAAGCAGACTTGTTGGCTGACATACAAAATACTTTTCCTGAATCTAAATTAAATATTTGTTTGGCTGATGTAAGAGATGCACAAAAACATGGCAAATGTCAATAACTATAGGTTCATAAATCACATAACATTTACACAAAATCAATATTTCTAATTAGCATTTATCTATGAAAGTAAATACCAAAATACAAGTGGACTTTTTAAAATTAGGATTTAAGTAAATGTAACATAGTCATGATACAGAGTAATAATTAATGAGTTAATACAGAGTAATAAACTCAATGTTTTAATATGGTGAATGTAACTGTCATTATAGTATAAGTCGGGAATGTTAGCCTCAGGTGACTTCACTAAAACAGAGATGGTTTTAGATAATGGAGTATATTTATGAATTTTCTTAAGTATAATAGATATTGTGGCTATATGGAAGAATTTCCAAACACCAAAAATAAAAAATCTTATTCTTAAGACACGCATACTAAGTATTTAGGGGTGAGATATCTGCAATTTACTTTAAAATGATTAAGTAAATATAACATAGGTGGATGAACAGATACATAAATAGATCAAGTCAATATGGGAAATTTTAATAATTGAATCAGAGGATATATATTTGTTGTACTCTAATTATGAACATATTATAAATATTCTCAACATATGAAAAAGTCGATAAAAGAATGTTTACAATGAATAATCAGCAGCTCCCTCAGGCATACTTTTGGCTAAGGCTGAATTTGTCAATCTGTAATTGAGTTTTTGGACAAGTATGTAAAGAACTAATAAAGTCTAGTAGAACTATGTGAGATTTTTACATGCTTTGGATGCCAGACAAACGTGTTAGAATTAACATCCTGTCATGAAAATGTAAGCACCTACCTTGTACCCTATTTCCAAGTAGATGGGGAAGCTGAGCCTAATGCTGGTATCACCTAGATATATCTCATAACATAAAAAGATTAAAAATTTTAAGTAATTCTTTTTTTTGTGGATTTCTGAGAGGAAGGGAGAGGGAGAGAGAGATAGAAACATCAATGATGAAAGAGAATCATTGATCAGCTTCCTCCTGCACGCACCCCACACTGGGGATTGAGCATGCAACCCAGGCATGTGCCCAACCGGAATTGAACCTGGGAACCTTCCATCCACAGGCCAATGCTCTATCCACTGAGCCAAACCAGGTAGGGCTTAAGTAAATCTTTTGACCCATCAGGTTTTTTAGACACACTGATATAGCCATAGGGTCCTCACTACACAGCGAGATGACTTTTGACCTCATAAATGTTAGTTATTTATAACAGGCCACCACAGTTACAAAAGAACCGGAGTCTGACCCTGGTGCCTGGTTATGTTGGACTTCACTCTGACAAGTCACCGGAGTCACCTCCAACTTACAGGGTAACTCAGGTGCAACAGCTTATCCCAAGTGTTTTTTTTAACTGATATCATGGATTGGCCATTAAGCATTATCTACTGAAGTTGGAAAGTTAGAAGAACACAATGGTTTTGATTTTTAACAAAACAGATGCCAAACAAGATTACAGATCTACACGCCTCTTATGGCTATTCCCACCCTATAATAATGGAATAAAACCACAGCTATAGTTTTTAAGTATTGGAAAAAAAATTTTTAATAAAAAATGTTTACCTACTCCGATTTCCCATGGGTGACAGGAAACAGCTTTAAAAGAGCATTCCCAGCACATACACTGCACCAGTCTTATTCAGCCTGAGTCAGACTGCCGTAAAAAGGACCAAGGGCTATTGAGAGAACACTATTACGGGGGCCAAAGTCCGATATTGTTTTTAACTGGATGTTTTCTTAGCTGAAATAGCGGAGGCAAAGTTATGATCGTGCCCAAAGCCCCCTGCACGTTCCTCCATCAGTCTTACCCTCTTCCACTTCAGTGACTTATCTGCTCATCTGTCTCCAACAGCCAATTGTACTGCACGAGGAGGGATCTTTTGTCTTGTATGTTTTCCCAACACCTGCTGCAAGGCTTGCACATGATAATATCTCAAATATCACTTGAATTAACTGTTTCAAGGAATTTGAGTAAAGTGCTATAAACTCTTTACAATTCAAAAATAATAAAAATGAGCCCTCTCAGGGTTAGAGCATTGGCCCATGCACCAAAGGGTCGCAGATTCAATTCCCGGTCAAAGAGATGTGTCTAGGTTGCAGGTTCAATCCCCAGCCCTGGTCAGCTCATGCAGGAGGCAACAATGTAATACTCTCAAATTAATGTTTCTCTTTCTCTCCCTCCCTCTCTCTCTCTCTCTCTCTCTCTCTCTCTCTCTCTCTCTCCACCCCTCCCTTTCTCACTCCACTTCCTTCCACTCTATCTAAAAATCAATGAAAAACATAATATCCTTGGATGAGGATTAAAATCATCATCATTATGATCATCAAAAAGGAAGACTGAAACTTTCTAAGCTATATAATTTCATATATATATATATATATATATATATATATATATACACACACACATACCTAAATGACCATTATGACTGGACAACTGGCCAGTAGCTATGACAGGCACTGACCACCAGGGGGCAGACACTCAATGCAGGAGCTACCCTCTGATGGTCAGTGCGCTCCCACAGCCAACCTCTCACAGCCCCTCCCTTCCCCAGGCTTGCCCCCATTGGCCCCCACTAGGGTGTGCTGGCTGGCCAACCTCCCTTGGCCCCTTCCCCAAGCCTTCCCTCCCCAATTGGGGTCGAGGCTAATCAACTTTCCAAGGTCCCTACCCCTGACCGGCCTGCCCCAATTAAAATAGGAGACAGCCCCGATTGGTCCAGATCTTCACCCGAATTCATGCACCGAGCCTCTAGTCTTTCTATAATGTAAATGGCTGAACTCAGGCAAAACTAAAGATTAGGGTAGATAATAAGGCTTGGTAATCATTTTCATCCTGGTCTACATTTCTATCTTCCATTCATGACAACTAACATTTATTACATGCTAGAGAATAATACTAAATGCCTTCTTGGTAGAGTATCACTTCATCATCATAAAACCTATGGAGCAACTACAATAATTAGATAGTGCTATATTATTTTGACTACTTATTTTCTTCTGAGCATTGCAAATTCCCCTAGACATATATCCCTAAGAGAAGTTAATTTTTCCATTATGATCTTGTAAATGAAGATTTGGCAAAACTACAGTCAGACCTGGCACCCGACTCTCCTCAAACTGTCCTTAAACAATCAAAAGCATTAAAACAAAGCATTCTAATTTTAAAAAGCCATAGCATGTTTCATGTAAAAGCATTCACTACTCCTTAGGAAACAGAAGCAGTATGTAGAATTGTGGAAATACAGAAGTATAGGCATTAGAGGTAATCCTCCATGACTAAAAAAAATACTATGATTTTTTAAAAAGTAAGTAGCTTTCATACATTTTAATAACCCTGAAGAACCTTTCTACTACAGGTTGAATTCATAATGAACATAGGAAGATTTACATATACAAAGTATCTATTATAAGAAAGGAAACAAATGCCTATTGTCCAGTTAGCTAGAATTAAGAGATAAATGCCTATATCCTGGACACTGTTCTGAAATAGACTCACTTACTCCCTGGTGGTGGCATACAAAGGCAGCCAATGAGTAACAATCCTCTCTACCCATTCCAGTCTAGACCAGAGCAAAGATGGTCAGACCTTCCACATTTGCTCTAGAGAAGGAGAAGAATGAAATGGAAGGAAAATAGAAAGGGAAAGGGAGGGAAAAGGAGAAAACATATTAGTTATGGTGATCCTCTCATACAGATATAGTTTCCTTACCTTGGTCAGAGCTTGTCCCAAAAGATTCTCAAATGCTTTCAAATTAAGATATGGACCATTATAGTAGGGGTTACTTTGTGCTTTTCTTCCCAGCCAGTACAATGTTATCAAAACCTTGCAAAAAAAATTCCATAAAACAAAAAGATCAGTCTACTTGTGGCAAGTAACTGCAAAACAGGTGAGCACTCCAGATAAAAGAGCGTATCTATCTATGGCTGAAAATAGATTTTTCTTTTAAATTTTAAGGAAAGGAGTCATTAAAAATGTTATTCACTCTTCCTAGATTTCACAGTTAGATTCCTGGTCAGGGCACATGCCCAAGTTGCAGGCTCCAGTCGCCATTTGGGGGCATTCAGGCATTCTCTGAGCACATTCTCAGACCAAAAGCCCAATCCCAACAGGTATTCATTCATGAATTCTACTAGTACATATGAAGGGGGGGGTGGATTAAACTTTTAATGCAACAAACTTAGGAAATGGACACTTAAAGTCAATAATTCTCAGCTTTCCTAAAGGTACCTAGCTCTTACATTTTTAATAAGTTGTCACATCAGAAATTCTCCTAATACATGTAGGATATTATAGATATTATATAAGTCCACATTGAATAATCATCTAGAGTTTTTAAACATTCAGAGGTGTTCCTTAAAGTCTGATTTGATGGTTTCTGACTTACTCCCCTAAAAATCCTAATGTTTATTGTGTTTATTGGCCTTTACCACATTACTAACATATGAGAAACCACTTTCTAAGTTTAAACTATCCTCTTACCACCATGAAGACAGACAATATGGTTTAACCGTATTTTAACATATTTAGAATTTGTGACTGGTTGGTTTCTAGCAAAAATTTCAGATAAAAAGATAACAGAGAGTATCAGATGTTTCTAGATCCCACTGCCTTATTACAGAACAAGTAAAAATCTATAATATTCCATTAAACATATCTTACATTTTTCACTCTCCTATCGGTCTCTTCTTGCCTGTAAAGAAAAAAGAGAAAATATCTATTAATATCTAAGAACTTTAAATTATTCATTATTAACTGAAGCTCTTTTCTATGAATATTAATACTACCTGGAAGCTCAAAAACTTCAGAAAAAAAATTCCTGCATTCATTGATTTCATAAAACAAGAGTCAATTTCTATTTAAAAGGTTGTATTTTCTCATTTTATTCATTACCATCTGGTTTCTAAAATGCAGTATTTGCATTTCTTATATTTATTTTAAACAATGCTTAAACCCTATCAAAAGGGGGAAATGTGCTCATGGCAGGAGGATCAAGAAACAGAAGAAAGAAAGGCTATTTCTCATCTCCATCATCCACATGAGTTTTCTCACCCAAGTTCCCCAGAGTAAACTGCTAAGACTAAAACCATGCAGATGTTGGAACTAATGTTTAAAAAATAACTGTGAGCCTAGCCAGCCTGGCTCAGTGTTTGAGCATCGACTTATAAACCAAGAAGTCATGGTTAGATCCCTGGTCAGGGCACATGCCCAGGTTTCAGGTGCAGTCCCCAGTGGGGAGCATTAAGGAGGCAGCCAGTCAATGACTCTCTCTAAACACTGATGTTTCTAGCTCTCTCTCGCTCTCTCTCGCTCTCTCTCTCTCTCCCTTCCTCTCTGAAATCAATAATAATAATAATAATAATAATATATAATATATATATATATATATGTATATATATATATATATATATATATATATATTTAAAAATAGCCATGAATCTCCCCCTGAAGAGATTTTGCTCTATTACAAAAATCATGTGTTTTTATTTCCTTTTCCTATAACAGGACATGACATTTATGGGTGAAGTTAAAAATAGGCTGATGTCACCACAATGTTGAAGAAGCAACCATATGAGTTAATTAATAAAAAAGAACTTAGGTTGCCCTAAAATAATGTGCTTTCAGTTGTTAGAGACACTTCAGCAGGATCAATGTGAGACTTTAGAGCCTGAGCTGGATGACTTCTAAGGTAGCTTTTCAGTCTAAGAGTTTATAAGGAGTAAATTTGTAAGATAAAATACATACACACACATGCTATATTTAAGACATACATAAAACACATATACCTGGTAAGACATAGGAAGACAGAAAGAAAAGAGAGGGGAAATGAGCACACACATATTTAATTTAGCTTTCAAAGACTCAATGAAATAGCTAAAACCATTCCTTTCCATAAAACAAACTTGAAATGAAATGAACCTAAGGAAAACATTACACCTCCCATCTACCCCTAAAACATCATGTCAAAAATAACATTTACAAGCTTTCACACTTCTGTGAAAATAGAAATTGGCACCACTACTCTAGCATCTGGCCCACTCAGAAGTATCTCTTCAAGCTGAATATGTTCATACGCTATGTCCTAATAATTCCACTCCTAGGCATATACCCAACAGAAATGTTTACATATGTTCACCTTAAGTCATATATGACAATGTTTGTAGAAGCACCCCTTATAATAAGCTGGAAGCTACACGTAATTCTTTAACAGTACAATGACTAAATTGTGGAATATCCACACAATGAAATATCGTATAGCAATTAGAACAAATAACCCACAATTGCATTCAACCATATGGTTCAACTTCACAAATGGGAAACGAAAGAATCCAGATACAGAGAGTATTTAGATTGTTACCAATCATTCATGCCAAGTACAAGAATAGGCAAAACAAAGACATGATGTTAGAAGTGAAGACAATGGTTACCCTGGTGGGAGAAGATGGTGCAAGTGATTACAAATGTGGGGGTTTCTAGGACACTGATAATTTCTTGTACTTTGATCTTGAAGCTGACTACCTAAGTAAGTGTGTTCCATCTCTACCATCTGGTGCATGAAATTCATGCGTGGGGGGAGGGTCCCCTCAGCCCAGCCTGCAACATCTCCAATAAGAGACCCCTAAGATTGGGCCAAAAACGGCAGTTGGACATCCCTCTCACAATCCAGGACTGCTGGCTCCTGACTGCTCATCTGCCTGCCTGCCTGATTGCCCCTAACTGCCCCTCCTGCCGGCCTGGTCACCTCTTACTGCTCCTCCCCCTCCCCCCCGTTGGCCTGGTCGCCCCACATAGCCTGCTGTTCAGCCATTTGGTCATCCCTCACTAACCCCCCTGCTGGCCTGGTCGCCCCACACAGCCTGCTGTTTGTTCGTCCATCCAGTTGTTTCAGTCGTAACAGCCCCTGACTTTTTATATATTAAAATAATAAAAGCATAATATGTTAATTAGGCCAGACAGCAGAACAACCTTCCAGGCATCCTTCCACGTGACTTTCCGGATGAAGCCAGGGCTATGAAGGCCAAGCCCCTTGCACAAATTTTGTGCATTGGGCCTCTAGTAACTCAATAAAGTCAATAAATAGAATTTCACAGCCCAAGTGCTCAAATCATAGTTTACTTCTTAAATAAAAAAAGAAAAGCACCTTGTAAAAATTAACAACATTTAATTTTGGAAGTAACAGAGGCAAAAATCACTAGAAACTAGTAATAAAAGACAGTACATATAATATATATAGCTTCTTTTTTAGATTTATGACCAACATGCACACCTCAGATATTGAATTAGCCAAAGCACAAAAGAATAAGCAACACTCAATGCAAAGAATATGGTAGGCTGAAAAATCCCTACCTTATTAAAAGTGGGATGCTTTGTGTTGAACGTTGTAATAAGAACAACAGAGCTCTCTGGAACCCCAGACTTTCCACAGCCCTCTATAAAGGATCTAATTCAAAACACTCATATACTATTCATTTTTTATTACGATAAAGCAATCGCTGTAAATACAAAGTATGGCCTCTTCTGTCATAAACAGGCACAATAACCAGTGAACTTGGCACTACAACCTTTCACTCTATGTTCCCTTCTAAATATGGGCATTTATAACACGCTCTTGAACATAATGATACATAGGCCAGCCAACTTAGTGTCCTATCACTGAACTGCAGCGCCAGGAATTCAAGTAGTCAATGATTTGCTGGAGTCATGAGACGCCACTTTCTGACACACGACAAACTCATCCCGCTGCATGGAAGTCCTAACCAGGCAGCTCCTCTGCCTGCTGGGCCAGGGCACGGGCTCAAGGCCTTTAAAATAGAAAAAGCACAAGGGAGGAGGCTCATAATACTCTCCTTGAGCCGGCCAAGTCACTGCTCAACCAGTCAGAACCAAAATTAAGGTAGCCTTATCTCCAAAGTTGGCTGCCTTCCCCATAACAAATATTTCGAGAGTTGCCTTAGCAAAAACTCGATGTTTAAGAACAGGCCTTGGGTCTGACCTGAGTCCCACTGGCCATGTTTGTCTTGGCAATTTACTTGATTCTCAAACTTTCAGTTCCCTTCTGGAGAAACTGGCGATAACATCCTCTGGCAGAAAATGCACACAGGTACTCAGCAGGGCCCCTACTCTCCGGCAGGTACTCCACGTGAAGCAGTTACTATCACTAAGCTATGTGAGGACAGAGTCCATCCTATTCACCAAGCTACCCACAACGGCCTCCCAGCACAGCCATGTGGGACCCCAGCGTTTAAGACTGCAGCCAGTCTGCCTGACACACCCATCTCTCATCGCTCTTTATTTCTGTATTTATAACCATCTCCTGCACGCATTCATTTATTATCTCTCCTCTACCAAAATCCAAAAGAATTTCTGTGGTTTTGTTTACTAGCATATCCCAAGTGTCTTTATGACAGAGTGTCTACCACTTGGCAAGCACATAAAAATATTTTATTAAAAATATCTAGTACAGCCCAGCCAGTGTGTCTCAGTGGCTGAACATGACCAGGAGGTGACAGTTCAATTCCCAATCAGGGTACATGCCCAGGTTGCAGGCTCAGTCCCCAGTGTGAGGATGTGCTGGAGACAGCCAATCAATGATTCTTTCTCCTCTTTGATCTATCTATCTAACTCTCCCTTCTTCTCTGAAATCAATAAACTTATATTTTTTAAAAAACAAACAAATAAATAAATAATTTCAAGCACAATGCATTGTACACAGAGGCTCTCAAACACTGACTGAATGCATTTATTTAGCTTACAGAAATGACATTTAGCAAAAGATAGCCTGAAATAATAAAAGCCAGATAAAAGCCAGGAGTTTTCTAATAAATATTCAAATGATATCAAAGAACAGTTAAATTGAATTCGCTTATTAAAATATACCACAAAAAATAAAAAATAAAATATCCAAGTTTGATTCAAATTATATTGAGATTCACAATTGGGTTTCTTTTTAAGCTACTATCTTGAAAATCGCAATAAAATGAATTCTTTATAATCATACATCAGTGACCCAGAAAAGGCACAGATTCAAAAACAAAGACCAACTTCAAAGCACTGAGTACAAAGATTAACTGCTAGTCTCTACAATAAAAACACTTCCCAGCATCCTAGCTGGTGTGGCTCAGTGGTTGAGCATGTATCTATGAATTAGGAGGTCAAAATTCAATTCCCAGTCAAGGCACATGCCAGGCTGTGGGCTCAATCCCTAGTAGAGGACATGCAAGAAGCAGCCAATCAATGATTCTCTGTCATCATTGATGTTTCTATCCCTCTCCCTCTTCCGTCCTCTCTGAAATCAATTTTTTTTTAAAAAGAAAGAAACACTTCCCATCAGAGTTCTGAAAAACAGAGGCCAAAGAACCCAAGTCTACCTAGAAACCCAAATCTAACATAAAAAGGTGCAGAGATAAAACATTAATAGTTTGAAAAAATGACTATGATGAGTATGTTGCTAGTATACCCTGCATATCACACACTAATTTTTTAAAATAACAGTTGACATTCAATATTATTTTATATCAGTTTTAGGTATACAGAAAAGTGGTTAGACAACCATATAATTTACAAAGCAATCTCCCAATATTTCAAGTACCAACCTAGCACCATACATAATTATTACAATATTACTGACTATATTCCCTATGCTGTACCTCACATAACACTAATTTTTAAATATTGTATTTGATATTCAAGAAA